ACACACAGGCCAGTGGAACAGAATTGAGAGCTCAGAAATAAACCCACAAAAAAATGGGCGAATAATTTTTGGCAAAGAAGCCAAAAACATGCAATGAAGAAAAGAAAGCCTCTTTAATAAATAGTGCTAGGAAAATTGGACAGCCACATGCAAAAGAATGAAATTAAACTGCTATTTGGCACCATACGGAAAAATGAACCAAAAACTTAAATATAAGACCTGAGACAATAAAATACATAGAAGAAAACATAGGCACTAAACTTATAGACTTTGGTTTTAGGGAGGATTTTATGAACTTGACCTCAAAGGCAGGGGCAATAAAAGCAAAATAAATGAATGGGACTATATCAAACTAAAAAGCTGCACAGCAAAATAAACCCATCAACAAAACAGAAAGACAACTGAATGGGAGAAGATGTTTGCAAACACCTATGATAAAGTGTTAATATTCCAAAGTATATTTTAAAAACTCCTACAATTCAACAACAAAGAAAAACAAACTAATTAAAAATGGGCAGAAACTTCTCTCAAGAAGACATAGAAATGTCCAACAGATATATGAAAAGATGCTCAACTTTACTTACTATTAGGAAATACAAATCAAAAAACCACAATGAGGTACCAACTCATACCTGTTAGAATTGCTATTCAACAAGACAAGTAAAAACAAGTGTTGGAGAGTTTGTGGAGAAAAAGTAACCCTCATAAACTGCTGATGGGATTGTAAATTGGTACAGCCGCTATGAAAACTGTAAGAAGGGTTCTCAAAAAAAAATTAAGAGTAGAATGACCATATGCTCCAGCAATCCTTTTAACTCCAAAGTTTGAAACTTTCATAAAGATATATGTACTCATTTATGTGCATCGCAGCATTATTCATGGTGGCCAAGACATGGACATAACTGAAGTGTTTTTGCTAGATGATTGTATAAAGCAGATGTAGTACATATATACAGTAGAATATTACTGAGCCAAAAAATGATAAAATACTGCCATTTGTGACAGCATGGGTGGATTTTGAGAATATTATGCTAAGAAAGCAAAATAAGTCAGACAGAAAAGGTCAGGAACCATATGATTTCACTCATGTGGGCTATAAAACTGAAAGCAACATAAGAACAAACAAGACAAACAAACAAACAAACAAACAAACAAAAACTCGTAGATACAGAAAATGGTATAGTGGTTACCAGAGGGAAAGAGAGGTTGGGGAATATGGGAAGGGCAAAGTGGGTCCAATATAAGGTGACAAGGAAATTTGAGTTTGAGTGGTGAACATACGCTGCAATATACCGATGGTTTGTTATTAAATTGTACACTTGAAACCTGTGTAATTTTATTAACTAATGTCACCACAATAAATTTGATAAAAATTAAAAAATATAGGGTGGGCTAAAAGTAGGTTTACTGTTTTGAGTATGCAAAACACTTTATTCTTGTATTTATTATTGTATTATTTTCCATATGAACAGCTGTAAACCTACTTTTGCCCCACCTTGTATTGTATATCTCTTGGGTTTGTTAAGTATAGGAGATTATTGATTATTGGTGATTTCTTTGTGATGGGGCAAATAGGAGACTGTAATAAATTGGGAAATGAATGGGAGGGGAAGAAGTGGCAGACTCTTTCAAGGAGTTTAGGTAAGAGGGAGAACTTACTGTTCTCATAGCAGCTGTACCAATTTACAATCCCATCAGCAGTGTATGAGGGTTACTTTTTCTCCACAAACTCTCCAACACCTTTTATTACTTGTCTTGAACAGTAAGTAAAGCAGGACTCAAGTTTAGGTGTGTATATTTCAGGCTGGAAGGAAGTTGAACACACTGTGTGAATATAATGAGCCCAGGAGAAAGTGTAATTGATGGAACAAGACCCCACAGAAAGGAAAAGGGCTTAGGGTCAAGTGCAGAGGTAGAAAGGCTGGCCTTGAAGAAGGGAAAAAGGAAGAGCTCATTCTCTGAGGCTAGAGCAAAGAGTACAGGAATAAGTAAGGATAAACTACACAGGTGATGGAGCACAGGTTGTGGGATCTTATCATACCTGATGACCTTGATTTTTTTTTTATGATGTTGAACATGAAGGTCGTGGTTAAGATTTAGAGGGCTAACATTGTAAGAGAGCTGGTGAAGGAGAATGATAAATATTTGGAAGAGCCAATTTACCCACAAGGTGAAGGTGAACAAGAACAGGTTAAAGGGATGAGAGGAGAGTTGGCCCTGAAGGCCTAGTGGCATGATCTTGTTTATATTACTGTCATTCTTCCCAGCAATGTTATTTTTCCACAGAAAAGGAGAAATGTAACATTGTTTTAGGTTTGGGGTCTGCTGGGCTGACAGGGATGCTACATTAATTCATTCAGCTAATATTAATTCAGGGCTGTTATGTGCCAGGCACTGTTCTAAGCTGTGAAAATATAAAATTGAAAAATTCCAGTTCTTGCCTTCAGGGAGTTCACAGGTAGAAAAGACAGACACTGAGGAAGAGTAGTGCAGTGATAAAGACGGGGGTGGGGGGGAGCGTTGTTTCTAAATAATAATTATGGTAAGAGATTTGTTCAGAATGAGACTTGATTATGGGCTCCAGAGTGGGGAAAGAAGAGAAGTCAGAAGGGGGCTAACAGCATAGGAAAAAATGAAGTGGCCATGGAGCTAGAGAACTCTCGAAGAACTGAATTGAAGTAAGACACTGTATATCGAGTCAAAGGGTAGAGGATCACAGAGTGAAATAATGGCGTTCAAGATCTCTGAGCTATAACAATCCTCACTGAGGACACAGGATCCAATGTGAGGTACTCAGGAGAGTGACTAAAGTGAAATGAAAGCGAAAGTGATAATATTAAGGAGATCCAGGAATGGTCCAACTTTCTGTCTGTCACATGCCTGTTAGATCATCTGTTCTTTCCTTAACATTTGTTTCATAAAGCTTTTCAATCTTAATTGTTAGTTTTCTTCCCTATGTTGAAGAGAAATCTCCTTCCCTTTAATTTCTACCTATTGGTATTATTTCTGCCTGTGGTAGCTATATAGAAAACCTTCTTCTCCTCCTTCCTCTCCCTCTCCCTCTCCCTCGTCTGCAAGGATCTCAAATTATAAAAGAAAGTTTATTTTGAAAGTCACATGCATAGAAAAGGTAAGCCAGATGGGCTGCATGAGCTCAGAAAAGGAGTTAACAGAGGCAAAAGAAGGTCCCTTGGACCTTAGGAAAAAGAAAGGCAGAGAGAACGCACCTGGGGAAAGAAGAGGAAGGGGGTAGGTGTGCTCCAAAGAGGGAGGTTGCCCTGGGGAAAGCAGGGGGTGGGGAAAGGCACGGCATGCTCAAGAGAGAGAAAGAGCATGCTTGTTATTCCTCTTCTAAATAGAATCATTCTCCTTGTTTATTTACTGAATATTGGCACATCAGTTGTATTCTACGTACTTTGTTAGTTCCTGGAATTGTGGAAGTATATAAGGTAATAGTTCCTAACTCATGATCTTGTCTAGGCTGGAGGGAAGACGGAAAGTCAGGGAGTGGAGTGAGAGTTACAGAAGAGGAGTAGGATGTTATGGGACCTGGAAGCAGGAAACCTAACATACCTGTACATGTGGTAGGAATTGGTAATGGGCAGAAGAACCCAGAGAGCATTCCACCCTGAGCTGCTTTCGGAGAGCATGAGTATAGGACTGTGTGTGCAGGAGCATAGGGTGTTCCGGGCAAAGGGTGCCTCATCAGTACCAACCCCAAGGTAAGAGTTGTGATGCACTGAGGAACTGAAGTAAATTTATTATGAAGACAAGGGTGAAACGAGGTCTTGATAACTATTTTAGGAGCATAAGCCTATTTAACTGGTGATTGGAAGTGATTCAAGGAGAATAGAAATGGTCAGAGTTGTTTTTAATATGTTTTTATTGATTTTAGAGAAAGGAAGGGAAAGGGGGAGATAGATAGAATCATCAATAAGAGCGTAATATCGATCTGCTTCCTCCTGCACACCCCTTACTAGGAATCAAGACCACAACCTGGGCATGTGCCCTGAACTGGAATTGAACCTGTGACTTCTTGGTGCATGGGATGATGCTCAACCAACTGAGCCACACTGGCCAGGGCTCAGAGTTATGATTTTAAGAGAAGAATAGATTAGGGCACAAGAATAGATTGCATGTATAAAGACTAGTTAGAAAGTTCTCATGATAGCCTCGGTGAGAAATGGTTGTGCCTTGGACTGGGTGGGGTGGAGGAAGGAAGTAGATATATTTGAAAGATACTTAGCAGATAGACTTTAGAACTTGATGATTTACTAGATTGGGATTGGGGAGGGTGGGAGAGAAAGAAATCAAGAATGGACTCTGCAATGCCCATTTGTTGATATGATAACAGTAGGAGAATCATGTTTGGGGAAAAGAATAATGTGTCTGTTATATATATATATTATTTATATATATATAAAAAACGGAAATGTTGGCTTTAATCCAAGCCAACATTTCCGTTTTATAAACTTTATTCTTGAAAAGCCATTATGTATGTATTTATGAATTGATCATTGTCTCTGTTGTGCTACTTTTGTGTTCTTCATAGACCTTATAATGTTTAAACTCCATGAGGAAGAAGTTGCTTCTTACATCCCTGGAGTTTAGAATAGTGCCTGGCACATAGTATTTAGGAAATATCTGAATGAGTGCCACTTTGTTTTGTTTCCTTATTTAAATGTCAGTCACTTTGAAGATTATTTCCTTAAGGTTGGGTTCTTCATGGTAATTTTTGCATTTCCTCACTAAGGGCTCAGTAAAAATTAGCAGTTGTTTCTGTTGTTATTATGTTAATCATGATGATGATCACCTATCACTTAAATACATTTTAATTTTTGTTTGTTTTTACTCTAGGAGTTAAATAATGATAAATTAGGGTTTTGCTTTTCAGGATGTGGGTGGTCCTCAATTTTAGATGGTTACATTTTACTTTCAAAGAACAAAACTTTGAATGTAATACTGGCTCATGTCGATATTATTTACTATGCTTATTTCAGGTACATCTATATAATGGGAATACAAGAAAGAAATGAGAAGTTGTTTTACAGAATACTGCAAGATGATATCGAAAATTTGTTGCCAATTGTATATACACCAACAGTTGGTCTTGCCTGCTCCCAATATGGACACATCTTTAGAAGACCTAAGTAAGGCTTATTTTTAAAAAAATATATTTGAAGATAATTAGTACATGGGAAAAATATCACTCCGTGATACTTATTACATATCTATTTTATTTGTGGTAGTCTTATCTCAACCACATTTCCTACCTCACAAAAGCTTAATTTGGACAAAAAGGGGTTCATAAAAACCCAGCACCTTCATATATTTTATTTTTGTAAAAATAGCATCATTCTTTCTTAACTTTCTTTAAATTATTATTGTTACAGGAACTGTACGTTTTTGTACCAAAAGAAAAAGTACTCTTTTTTTTCTCCTGGTAGCAGATTCTCAAGAATTATCATTAATGGTTTTGACAATCTGGCCAAATTAAGAGATTGATTCTCATTTTTGGTCAGCTTTCATTTCTGTTGTTTGTTGTTTTTATGAACTTTTATAAATTTTAATTTCACATAGTTCTTGCACCTCCAAATGTTTCAAGTGGGAAGAGACTGGAATGGGCATTGACTCAAGACTTTGAATAAGTTACTTTATCCCTTTAAATCTGTTTTCTCATCATAAAATACCAGTACCTATGAAAGAGCTGCTGAAAAGATCAGATGAGGAAACTGATAGGACTGACAACTATTTGTAAATGTATAAATGCATTATGAAAATGCTATTTTTACTTCTAATCTACCATTTTTCTCAATCTTTATATAATTCCCATGTTTTACTTGCAAATTGACACAAATGTAGAAATTCAAACAATGTATGATAGCATTTATCTTCAATCTCTCCTCATCTAGCCTAGTGGCTTTAAAACATTAATGTGCATATGGAACACCTGTGGGGCTCACCTAACCTGTTGATCCCAGCCAACTTTTCTCTCCTGTTCATTCCCAAGCTTCCGATGAAAAAGAGAAAGGTCTGGAGGTCTAGATTTAATGAACATCATTGGTGGTGGTGTTGCAGGTATTCCCTGGAAGACACTTTGAGAACACTGTCTGATCTATCCCATGTGCTCCATCAGTTAATGTGTCTGAAACATTTCTGTGACATTATCCAACTGTTCAGCTCTTTCTTGGTTTCTTTTTTATGTAGAACAGAGGTTCTCAATCCAGATTAAAGGACAAAGAGAAACATAAAAAGTACTGATGCCTGGGCCACCTGTGAAGATCCTGACTCAGTTAGTTTGGAGTTCTAAGTGTTGGTTTTCGTAAAAGCTTCTGGTGTGATTCTGACATGTACCCAGAGTTGAGAACAGACGTGAAACATAAAGAATGTGGTTTTTGGGCGAGGGCAGATACGGTGTATCATTTATGTAGTGTACTGCTGCAGTGGTTTTTTGTTTGTTTTTCACATAGAAGATGGTCAGTAAATCTGATCTAAACTCCAGGCCAGTCAAATCAGAATCTATGGGGCATTTTTAAAAAGCTCATCAGATGAGTCTATTATGCATTTATGGTCAAAAAACTGTTTAACTAAATTGGTTTGAGCTAGAATAGTAATGCCAAAGTTAAGATACCAGTGAGAAGCTTAGAGGTAAGAATCAGTTTGAAGACACTTGGGGACCTGTTGGCCCTCATCTCTGCCTGACCTATTCTGTAAAACCTATGTTTTGTTTTTATTTTCCTTCCTTTCTTTCCTTCCTTTCTTCCTCCCTTTCTTCCTTCTTTCCTTCCTCTCTTCCTTTTTTGAAATCTGGATTAATTATCTCAGTTGGATAGCAGTATACTGTATGTTTGAAATAACTTTTCACTTTTTCCTAATACCTATAGGATGACATCTTTTATGTGAAACTACTGTAGTTCTCTTCTTTACTGTTCCAAATTTTAATTTTTCAGTTTCAGTAAGTTTTAGCAGTTTATTTGGCCTTGTTATGCTCTTCTGCATTGGTGGTTTATATTTATATTGCTTTTTACTGGAGGCTCATTGGGTTTATTTGAAAATGGTATGTGGATACCTTTCTTCTTCCAAAAAATGGTCACATCATTTAATAATAATCTTTGTTGCAACTACTATGTGAGCAATGCAGTTGCAGTTTGAAGTAGATGAAAATGTTTGAAAATAAACCAGTGTGACTTAGCTAAATCTATTTTGAAATTATACTGTGTCTTATTGTTTTATTAAAATATCTAAATATTCCAATTATGAACAAAACTTAGAAAAAAACAAAAAACTGTTGTGAAATGCAAAGGTGTTTTTGTTCTGTTGCAGGGGATTATTTATTTCAATCTCAGACAGAGGTCATGTTAGATCAATTGTGGATAACTGGCCAGAAAATCATGTTAAGGTACTAATAGCACAACCTTCCTTTTCACAATGTTATTTCTTTCCTTGTAAGTTACCTCTAAATTTCAAAGAACATTTTTTCATTGTTGTTCTGATTTATTTTGCATTTACATACATGCAGATTTAGTGCTCTGAGGAGATCATGATAGTAATAACTACAAAATGGGTTACTGGTGTAAAGTTCAACTTTGGGAAAGAAATTAGAGCTAGTACACAAGGTGAGCTTGCTCACTGTCAGTACCAGTGGTGTCTTCTGCCTTCTCTAGATTTCTATTTCAGTTAGTATTAATATTTTATATTTTACTTAATATTAACCAATTAATAATACTATATCATTAAAATGACAAAAACTTTTATTTGGTGAGCAGTGGGGAAGATTTATTATGCCTTTTTCCTTCTGAATCTAAGATAGATTTAGATCCTTAAGCAAATATAAAACTCTTAAAGTTTCAAATTTAGCAAACATTGGTCAGTCTGGCTGCCTCTCATAAAATAAAATCTGACTTAACATCTTCTGTTAGGCTTTAGTGTTCAGTACGTTCAGTAATCTTGTGTTTATTACATCTTCCTCACAAAAATCTTTGAATAATCAGTAATTCTAATGATCTAGAAAAAAATTTGATCAGATAATTAATCTCACAGTATTATCTTAAAACCTTATAGGTATATATATTTGTTATTCTAGATCTTTTTCTCTTTCATCATTGCTAAGGTTTGTCTTGTTTGGCCTAGGTTATTATATTGGAGTATTATATTGTTTATTTCTAAACTCTTACTGTGCTCTTATGGTTAATCTCTTTATCAGATGTTTGTTCTCCACTCCCCGTTTATCTTTGTGAAGATGTTTAGTTGATCCTCCAGTCAGAAGCAGTCTGTTCCTAAACTAAAGACAGGAAATTAAATCTAATTAATTCTCTTTTTGGTGTCTAGATTCTACAAATACTAGAATTTTAAGTATGCTTGGTTGGTTTACTTTGGAAGTTAGTCAGGAAGCAATTTTATTTTTAAAAATGCGTGTAAAAATATCAAGAAAATCTTTTTAAAATACTTTTCTTTAATGTCCCATTTTTAACAACTTTTAATTAATTGAATTTTTTTTTTTTTTTTGTAATTAAGGCTGTTGTGGTGACTGATGGAGAGAGAATTCTGGGTCTTGGAGATCTGGGTGTCTATGGAATGGGAATTCCAGTAGGAAAACTTTGTTTGTATACAGCTTGTGCAGGGATACGACCTGACAGATGCCTGCCTGTGTGTATTGACGTAGGAACTGATAATCCAGTGAGTAAAACCATTTTCCTCCTCTGATCCTTCTTTCATATTAAAAAGTATGTTTTATTACATTCCTCTTTTGAAGATAATATAAGAAGGGAAATTTTTGCGATTAGATGTTACTCTTTGTCTTAAGCTCAGCTTTTAATATACATACAAGTAATAGTAAATTATCTTATTAAAAGTTGAAGTAGAGCAATAAGGTTTAAAAAACTATATTAGTAATTTATCTTGCAATTTTTGTTTTAAAGAATATATTTAAATTGGTTATGTAACAATTTTATTTTTGCATTTGGTCTATTTTATAGGCACTGTTAAAAGATCCATTTTACATGGGCTTATATCAGAAAAGAGATCGATCACAACGTTATGATGATCTGATTGATGAGTTTATGAAGGCCATTACTGACAGGTATTTTTTTAAAGTTTGAGTATATAAAAGCATCTTTAATTAAAGAAAAAAATAAATCAGTTTTGATTTGTTCCTTTATCTCTTAGGAAGATATGTAGGATTTTAAATTTTGAGTTCTTTCCTGCTGATCAGATGTGCTGATATTGTTCTGCCCCACCTACTCTGCCTTGCTTTCCTGAGTTGTCCGGCATCCAGGCTCACTTCCATCATTCCAGTGAAACTCTTGTGTCACTTTGATGTTTTAAATTTGCTGACCATTTGGTCCTCCTCTTTCTCCATCTGTCTGCAGCATCTGACCAGGTTTTCCAATCCTACGCCCTCAAAATTCTCTCTTCTCTTAACTACTAAGATTTTCTCAACTTGGTCTTTCACCCACCTTTTTCTTCCTTTAGTCATCTTCACTGGTTCTTGCTCACATTTTTGTTTTTTGAATCATGTAAGCTGTGATCCTTAGGCATGTGACTCCTACTTCCATAAAAACCCATCTGTGTAGTCCCATCTCCCTCTGAGGCCTGTATACCTAACACCTGTAATTCTCCATCCAGACATCCTGTTGCTCTTTCATATTCATGTCCAAAACAACTCCTTCCCTTCCCAAAATGCTGATCTGTGTATTTAGCCTCTATTAATGGCAGTAACCTTCACCCTATTGCCAAACCTTTGATCTTGGTGTTATCTTTGACTCTTTCTCCCTTTCCAGTCCTCAAATCCAATTGGTAGTACCACTTAAATGCTTCCAAAATAGATCTCTTTTCCATTGCCACAGGCTTTCTGCAGATTCTCATCTCTCTTCTGGATTTTTCTAAACCTTTCTCTCCTTTCCAGTTCATCTCTACATTATAACCAGATTAATTATTTTTAAATGTGTACTTCATTATGTTATTCTTTTGTTTGAAATCTCTAATTGGTTTTCTATTGACATAGGGTAAAGTCTAAACTTTTTACTTTTATGACAAAGTCCAAACTCTTTACTTTTATAACCTAGCCCTGCCCTACCTTTTATATTAATGGTACATTGTCTGGCCAGTGTAGCTTAGTAGATTGAGTGTCATCCTATGAGCATCATCCTATGGACTGAGAGGTCCCCGTTCGATTCCCGGTCAGGGTACTTGCCCAGGTTACAGGCTCCAATACCCAGTAAGGGGGCGTGCAGGAGGCAGTTGATCGATATTTCTCTCTCAAATCGATGTTTCTTTTTCTCTCTCCCTCTCTTCCTCTCTCTCTAAAAAATCAATAAAAACATATTTAAAAAAATAATAGTAGCCCGGCCAGTGTGGCTCCGTAGTTGAGTGTTGACCCATGCACTAAGAGGTTGCCAGTTTGATTCCTGGTCAGGGCACATGCCCAGGTTGTGGGCCCAATTCCCAGTGGGAGGGCGTGCAGGAGGCGGCCAGTCAGTGTTCTCTCTCATCGATGTTTCTATCTCTCTCTCCCTCTTCCTTCCTCTCTAAAAATTAATAAAGAAAAAATAGTAATAATAATAATAAATTACTGGTACATAGAATATATTAAAAAATGAACTGCTTTTCAGAGTCGAAATTGGCATATCCAAAACCAAACTTTTCATCATTGTAGAAATTGCCATCTCCCCCACTTTTCTACCTTAGACAATCAAATGGTACCTTCTTAGTGATCCAGGTTGCCTTGATGTTTTCACAAACTTCTTCCTTCCATCCCAGTTGGCCCTCGTCGTCAAATTCTGTTTGTTTATTCTAATGTCTCATAATTGTCCCTGTTACTTCCTGTAGCTCGCTTCAGGTCTTTTTGTCGTCATGCCCTAGTAGCCTCCTAGCTGCTTCTCCTGCCTTTCTCATCTCCCCCCACAGCAGTCTGTGCTTCCTCAGGGGAGTCGTACATGAATTCTTCTCCGAAGCCTTCAGTGATTCTACACCAGATACTGAATAAAGTCCCGATTCCCTAAGATGGCATTCCAGATTCTCCCTTATCTGGCCCCACTGACCTTAACCAGTTTCTCCCTTATCTTTTTTTTTTATTTATTTTTATTTTTTTTATCCTCACCCAAGGATATTTTTCCATTTTTTGTACAGATAGAGTGGGAGGGAGAGAGAGGAAGGGAGAGACAGACAGAAACATCGACGTGAAGGGACACATCGAGTGGCTGCCACCCGCATGACCAACCAGGGCCGGGGGCAAAGTGCAACCGAAGTACGTGCCCTTAGCGGGAACCGAACCCGGGTCTCTCCAGACCGCAGGCCGACACTCTAACCGCTGAGCCAAACTGGCCAGGGCTCTCCCTTATCTTTTCATATAAACCCTGAAATATGTAGCCAAACTGTTGAAAATCTAGGGTCACCAAAATACATCTTGCTTCCTACCTCTTATCTCTTTTGTTGTTCTTTCAGGGACTAAATAAAGTCCTAAATCCTTTTCAAATCGTTCCTTATTATCTCACTCACCAAGATGATTGACATATTTTTCTGAATGCCCATGAACTTTCTGAATGCCCATGAACTCATATGGCACTTATTTTTTAACCTTTTATTTATATACTTCCTGTGTTGCTGTTTAACTGCTAATGTAATGGGAATATACATAACCAATATATACTTTTTGAGACTGAGACAAAATCTCTTATTTTTAGAAAGTTACTTAGTGCTTATATGTGCTGGGCACCCTCCTAGGCACTTGGAAATAGTTTATGCAGATTGATGTCCCATACATGCACCATGGTACTACATTCATTTTAAGCACCCTGTACATTTTTTGGAATGAGAAATCGATTTCTACATTTTGAGTCTAGTCTTTCACAGACTCTGAAAATTGCCAGAAGGCCTTAAATGAACTAACAATATATTATTTTTTTAATGCTCTCATAAGGAATATTAGACCGGAAAGCTGTTTAGTAGCGGTTTTTCAACACAACAATTATGGATTTTGCTGTTTTTTAGATATGGACGGAACACACTTATTCAGTTTGAAGACTTTGGAAATCATAATGCATTCAGGTTCTTGAGAAAATATCGAGAAAAATACTGTACCTTCAATGATGATATTCAAGGTAAAGCAAAAAGAGAAGTTTAGGATTTTAATTTCTACTTTTAAAACCCTTTTTTATGTGACCTTTTTTTTTTTCTTGCAGGGACAGCTGCAGTAGCTCTCGCAGGTCTTCTTGCTGCACAAAAAGTTATTGGCAAATCACTCTCAGAACACAAAATCTTATTTCTTGGAGCAGGAGAGGTAAGTTTTCGTAAGCTATTTTGACTTTAAAACCAACATTCTTCTTTAGAATTGGAAAATGGGACATAAAGAGCTTATGCTTTTGTTGAGATAGATAGGGAAATCTTGTAATTCAGGATTTCTATTGTAAAATAGGTGATTTAAAATATGCTTAGAGAATATCAACAAAGAGTCAACTTTTGTGTGGTTTGTAAGGGAAGAATAAACCAAATATTCCTCTTAACATATAATAATAATAATAATATATAAAGTAATCACGCATTGCATTATACTCTAGTCTTTACTTTTTACATTTTTTTCTGTTGGACAGGCTGCTCTTGGAATTGCAAATCTTATAGTTATGGCTATGGTGGAAAGTGGCCTCTCAGAAGAAGAGGCACAAAAGAAAATTTGGATGCTTGACAAGTTTGGTTTATTATTTAAGGTAAAGTATTTAAAATTTGAAGAACCAGAAGAATGTTGTTATAATGATATTTTAGTTTAATTTTAAAAATGTTACCGATTTTTAAAACTTTGTGTCTCACTGGACTATCCAGATTGCACTAGTTGGGGACCTTACAACAGTTCTTAACAGAAATCCTCCAGTCTAAAAATTGTTGTCTTTTATAAAGACTCTTGCTTCATATTCAAATCATAATCTCTATGTTCGGCACCAGATTTATTTCTTGCTTCGATCTCTGACTCTTAAGGGATCAAATAATCATGCAAATAATATTGTACTTACCCCTTCTAAGACTAGGTTTTTAATTGGAACTCAGAATATTCTAATTAAATAGTTAGCAGGACATCTGACATTTGAGCAAAAATTTATTAACCCTTTGGTGATCATAATCCCCTTAGCAATCTAATAGAAATCTATGGATCCTTTTCCCAGAAAAAGGCACATATTCTTAAGGCCAATTCATGAACAACAAGAACTTCTATCTCAGATTGAGTTAGTGTCCTTTGGACATGCCTTCCTTCCTAGCATTGATTGTCATTTTATTAGCTTCAGAAATGCCTTAGAGCTTATACTCTGTAACACATTGAAATGTAGGCAAACTGTTTCATAATTTAACCTATCCCTGTACACAGTGCTGTTGTAGTTTTGCCTTGTATAATGATAACAGCAGTTACTTGTCATTTACATCTTTGGAACAAGCTTATCTCAATGAATTTTGCTACAGTTCTGCAATCTTTTCTTCTTAATTAGTACCAATATTCCAATATTCTATTGGTACATTTTATCAAAAGATAAAATGGAAAATTAAAGTGTGTGAGTAAAAAATCTTGAGTGCTTCATTTATACATAATTTAAAATAGTTGTTTAAAATATATAGGACATTGTGCTAAAACTTTACATTTTTTATTTCATTTAATCTTCTCAAAAACCCTATGGAATTTTACAAGTGAGGAAACTGAGCTTTATAAAGGTCAGGTGACTCTTTCAAGGTCATCAGCTTATAAGTGATGGAATTAGGATTCATACTCAAGTAGCCTGTGAAGCCTGTGCTCTTAAAAATTTGACTGCGTTCCCTCTCACGTAACCTATTTCTGCCGTATTTGTTTGTATATAAGATGCAAGGTATATAAGACATACATTTAGATGGCTGGTGAGAGGATATGTATTTTTACTGGTGCACAATAGATTGGTGTTTCTTTTTGTGATGTTGGTCAAATTTGTGCTTATCATGTTTGTAATAAGTCATGTCTAGAATGAATACAGTATTAGTTAGCCCCCTGTTCATCTGCAGGTGCAGAGTGGATTTTCCTGTTAGTCTATAAGTAGCTTGACCTACAGATTTTAAGCTTCTAGTCTCTCCTGGTGACCCAAAACACTGCCCTCCTTTTTGAGACTTTCCTGTTGAACCACCTGCAGACAAGCATAAGAAGCCATTATTCTGAGAGCCTTGGTCTGGTGAGGCTGTATTTCAGTCCTTTAGTTAACTTCCCAGCCAACGTATGATGGTGCGCAGCTTTTCCCAGCCCTTGCTGGTTTTATCTGGGGTTATATTGGAGCTCTGATGGAAAAGTTCACCTTTGTAGGGGATGTCTTCTCTTTTGCTAAAATAAGAATATGGATTTCTCAGCCTGGTTAGTTTTTCGTCCAATGTTTTGCCTGCTTTAAATTGTTGTTCTCATTTGTCACTGGTCCCTCTCCTGTGACACTACTAAGGAATTGCTTTATATAGTTTTTGACTGGGGATTTGGAGAGGAAAGCATGTTCCTTCAGCCATCTTGAACCAGAATTCCTTGCTCTTGTTAATGAACTCTTAGTAGTCCAAGTGCAATTCTGAAATTCTAAAAGCTCTGAAATCCCAAAGTTTTTTCTGAAATACATTTTGTAACAGATCTGACTGACCTGAACTTACCTGGCAGCAAAACCGTAGAGGCTACTTGTAGTCTCAACCTTTTGTACTTGGTGTGAATTTTCATAAGTTTTGTCCAGTTGTGAGGTACCCATTGGGAGGTATGTGTAATATTTCACATATTGCCATAATACATTTATAAAATATGAAAAATTCTGAATTCCTTAATGCATCAAGCCCAGAAAAGGGATTGTAGCACTTTATGCCATAATGAATTTAGGAAGACTTCACAGAGTAAATGAGATTTTGAGAAGGATTACAAAGTTTCTGGTTATAAGGAGATTTGATTTATGTTTTATACTTGGGTTTGTGGATACTATGAAGATAGAATTAGAAGATATGGGTTGAAGAGAAAAGTAAATGTAAATAAATTCCTATTGTAGAAGCAATATGTGACTCATAATGATGTCTTTTCAGTTGCTCCTCAATAAGCATTTACCAAAAATACTGTATTTTATGTAAAAATTCAGGGGCGGAAAGCTAAAATAGACAGTCATCAGGAACCATTTGCTCACTCAGCCCCAGAGAACATACCTGATAGTTTTGAAGATGCAGTAAATATACTTAAACCTTCAGCTATAATTGGTAAGTAAAGTTGTTGCAGATCATTTTCTTACTTAACTGTATGTTGCCAGTAATAACTCACATGCAGGATTACTAAAAATGAAATAATATATATTACCTAGCTTTTAGCATGTATGATTTTTTTTGTAATAGCTTTTTGATTACAGTGTGTAAAGATAATTCAGTTAATGTATGTTGCTTGTATTTTAAAGTGCTAGAAGCTGTGGGATTGATCATGCTTTGATTTTAGAGTTGTTATGACTATTGGGCTCAAAACCTAAAAAGGACCAAGGTCATTTGACATATTATACCAAGAAAAACCTATGCAGAGTCAAAGATCTTCATTGGCACCCTGGCCGGTTTAGATCAGTGGTTAGAGCATTGGCCTGGGAATGGGAGAGTCATGGGTTCGATTCCTGGTCAAGGGCACATACCTGGGTTGTAGGTTTGCTGCCCAGCCCTGGTAGAGGTTGTACGGGAGGCAACCAATCGATGTGTCTCTCTCACATGGATGTTTCTCTTTCTCTATCCCTCCCTCCCGTCCACTCTATCTAAAAATCAATGGGAAAATATCCTCAGGTGAGGATTAACAAACAAACAAACAAAAAAAGAAAACATTTTCATTGACAACAAAGCTGAAAGCTTTTGGTCTGTTTTGAGTCAGGCATTGCATAGCTGACATGAGACTACGACAACATAGCATTCAGTTCACAGCAGAAAATGTAGCAGTCTTTAAAAGAGGAGCTGTTTTATTTCCCATGTAGCTGTAAGATTTGAATCTACAATTTTAATTTTATCTGTTTCATATTGGGGCCCTATTGAATGCTAAATAGCAAAAACAGTCACGAACAGTAAGTTTCTATGGTCAGGAAAAGTATTTCTTTATTAGCTTCTTCATTGATTAGAACTCATAATTTTTAGAGAAAGAAAAAATCTTAAAGATTATCTAGTCTAAGAATCTGTCCATTAACTCCATCCCTGTAGGGTCAAGGAAACAAAAAGAAAAAATTAAATTGTTTTAGAATTCATGTACTCCTCAAAATATGTCTGAACCTCCACATGGAGAAATGCTGAGTATAACTTCCTTTTTCACGTAAGAAAAAACAGGCACAGGGTTGTTAAGCAACTTGCTCAATATTTGTAAATATTTCATATAGCTAGGAGTGATAGCTAGCTTTAAAACTGGTCTTCAGCCCAATCAGTATTTTTCTTTTTTTTTTAATCTTCATTGTTGAATGTATTACAGATGTTCCTCATTTTTCCCCCATTGACGCCCTCCTCCCCACTCCCGTCCCCCTCCTGCCTTTCCCCACACTGTTGTCTGTGTCCATTGGTTATGCATATATGCATATAAGTTCTTTGGTTTATCTCTTCCTGCCCCCTTATCTCCCCTTCCCTTTGAGGTTCCTCAGTCTAACAGCCAATTTGTACTTCTTAATCCCGTCATCTTTTTCACCCATCCCCCCAAATGCCCTCCCATCAGGCAACCAACAAAAAGTTCTTTGTATCTGAGTGTTTCTGTTCTGCTTATTCATTTGCTTTGTAGATTCAGTTGTTGATAGATATGTATTTATTGCCATTTTATTGTTCATATTTTTGACCTTCAAGAAGACCCTTCAACATTTCATATGATACTAGTTTAATGGTGATGAACTCCTTTAGCTTTTTCTTATCTGGGAAACTGTATATGTCCATCGATTCTGAATGATAGCTTTGCAGGATAGTGTAATCTTGGTTGTAGGTTTTTGCTTTTCATCACTCTGAATATTTCTTGCCACTCCCTTCTGGCCTGCAAAGTTTCTTTTGAGAAACCAGCTGACAGTCTTATGGGAACTTTCTTGTAGGTAACTAACTGCTTTTCTCTTGCTGCTTTTAAGATTCTCTCTTTGTCTTGAACCTTTTGCATTTTGATGATGATGTGTCTTGGTGTGGGCCTCTTTGAGTTCATCTTGTTTGGAACTCTGTGCTTCCTGGACTTGTATGTCTGTTTCCTTCACCAAGTTAGGGAAGTTTTCTGTCATTATTGTTTCAAATATATTTTCGATTTCTTGTTCTCTCTTCTCCTTCTGGCACCCTCAAGATGTGAATGTTGGCACACTTGAAGTTGTCCCAGACACTCCTTACACTATCCTCATTTTTTTGGATTCTTTTTTCTTTTTGCTGTTCTGATTGGGTATTTTTTGCTTCCTTATATTCCAAATCGACGGTTTGCTTCTTAACTTTACCTTACTCTACTATTGAATCTGTGTAAATTATTCTTTAGTTAGTGCCTCCTTCATTTCTGACTGGTCCGATTTTATGCTCTTGAGGCCCTCACTAAGTTCGCTGAGGTTCTCACTAAGTCCATTGAGCATCCTTATAAGCAGTATTTTGAACTCAGCATCTGTTAGGTTGCTTATCTCCATTTCACCTAGTTCTTTTCCTGGGGTTTTGTTCTGTTTTTTCATCTGGGACCTGTTTCTTTGTCTCCTCATTTTGGCTGCCTCCTTGTGTTTCTTTCTGTGTATTACATAACGAGAGGTATGGGGCTAGCTGAGACCAGATGCTGCTTGTTTGAAAGAATTTAGGAAAACCTGAAACAGGATCCAAGACAGGCCAATCCCATGGTTAAGCAACTGACAACAGCTTGGGTGGGCCTGAAAGTTGGGTGGGGCGGGGCCTCAGGGAATCACCAGGGCGGGGCTACCAGTGTGAGCCAGGTTGCTGGAGTCCCAGATATGGTGGCTGTCTGCCGCCCCAGGGAAGGCCTCACCAAAGGAACAAAGGCCTCTGACTGCACGTCTCTCCCGGAGAAAGCCCCCATCTCCAGCCCTCGCTCCAGTGCCAAACAGCTCAGTTCTTCCCTGTATGTCTCTGGGCCCCTGGAGCTGCCTCCCCTCCAAGCTTAGAGGGAGAGAGTCCGATAAGTCCGTGCGCAGGCCCTTTAAGGAGCTGCCTGGGCCTCAGTTCCCGCTGGTTTTCCAGCCAGAAGTTATGGGGATTCTCTTCCTGGCACTGGAACCCTGAGCGGGGCATCTGGTGTGGGATGGGGACCCCTCAGTCCTCAGGGAGGACCTTCCCAGCCGAGGTGTCCTCCTGATATTTATCTGCCACACGTGGGTGTGGGACCCGCCCCTCCGCCCCTCCTACCAGTCTCGATGTGGCTGCTGCTTTAATCCCGTAGTTGTAGGACTTCCATTCAACTCGATTTCAGGTGGTTTTGAATGATGGTTGTTCTGTAGTTTAGTTGTAACTTTAATGTGGTTGTGGGAGGACCCGATACCATGTTTACCTACGCAGCCACCTTGACCAGAAGTCCAGTATCTTTCTATATTACATAACAGTTTATAAAACAGAATTAAAAATTAACTATCTTGACTATTAAATATAACTATTTTTTGGCTAATCCTCACATAAGATATTTTTTTCATTGATTTTTAGAGAGAGTAGAAGGGAGGGAGGGAGAGGGAGAGAGAGAAACATCAATGTGAGAGAAACACAGCAGTTGGTTGTCTTCTACATGCACCCTGCAACCCAGATACCTCGCCACTTCGTGCTTCAACTTTCGCAGCTTCACTCTATTGCGGTTTTTTCAAATATAAATAAAGAATATATATAAAGGATCCTGTATATAAATAAAAAATCCTACTTCGTGGAAATTTATTTATCACTATAGAGTCTGGAACTGATTAACTGCAATAAACAAGGGCAGACTGTATGTGCCCTTAACTAGGAATTGAACCTGCAACCCTTTGGTGCGCAGGCCGACACTCTTAACCATTGAACCACCCTGGCCAGGGCTGAATATAAATCTTCTTACTGGATGAACTAGATAAAAACTTTATGGAGGATTCACTTAATTATCTCCAGATTCCCACCATAGACCAAGTATTCTTCCTCCATGGTGTGCTTCCTTTAACACTGCACACTTAGCACATGTTACAGGTTTTTTTATTTTTGTTTACTTTGTTGTTTTTCACTCAATTATAAGTTGCCTGCATTATACTCATTTTTATGTCCTAATGGCCTAATACAGTGTCTGAGACATTGTAGGTGCTTAATAAACTCATTAAATTGAACTATATCAGGAAAGTGGATTTCTCTAGTCAAGAAAGAAATCTTTTTTTTCTTCTGAATTTCTATTATTTTGTAACAAGTACCATAGACTTTAATGGTTTAACATTTGAGTTGCAAGTTTTTATCATCTTTAAAAAGTGTTTTAATTGTGGTAAAATGCACATAACTTAAAATTGGTCATCATAACCATTTCTAAGTGTACAGTTTAATAGTATTTAGTGCATTTACATTGTTGTGCAACCGATCTCCAGAACTCTTATCATCTTGCAAAATGGAAACTCTCTACCCCATTAACCAACAGCTACCTACCCCAGCCCCTGCCAAGCACCATTCTTCTTCCTATACTATGAATTTGACTACTTTAGTTATTCATATAAGTGGAATCATGCAGTATTTGTCTTTTTATGATTGGCTTATTTTATTTATCATAATATCCTAAAGGTTCATCCATATTGTAGCAAGTTTTATCTGAATTAGACATAGTGATGGAGATAGTCTTATACTCCCCCACCATACACAATTTACTGTCCATGGGGTGGAAAATAAATATTTTAAGTGAAAACTTAGGATTTTATTGTTTTTCTTTTCATATTTGAGATTGTGTTCTGATAGCATTTTTTCAGCAAGGCAAAATCTATCGTTGTAATGCAGTTAATCTTCACTTTTGTTGTTAAGCCTATTGTAGAAATGCTGTTGATAAGAATTGCTTTATTTTACCTGTAATGAAGTTGGCTGTTTTTCCTCTTTCTTATTACAGGAGTTGCAGGAGCTGGCCGACTTTTCACTCCTAATGTAATCAAAGCCATGGCTGAAAACAATGAAAGGCCTATAATATTTGCATTAAGTAATCCTACAGCAAAGGCTGAGTGCACAGCTGAAGAAGCATATACACTTACACAGGTATTAATCAGTAATAATTGAATGAATTGGTTGTCTGTTATTTTCCCTCTATTAGTCTGTTAGTTATACATTCTTGCATAATGTTCATGGTTACTCTGGAGACTACAACATGTGTCCATGGATCATCAAATTCTGGTATTAATTATTGCTTGTAACAATTCTGGAAAGAAATGACCTCATAATTTCATTTTTTAGCACCTTTATGCCTTTTGTGCTATTGTACTTTTTAAAAAAATCTTCACCCAAGGATATGTTTATTGATTTTTAGAGAGAGAGAAATAGAAACATTGATGTGAGAGAGAAACATCTAGCAGTTGCCTCCTGTACTCTTCCTGACCGGGAATCAAAACTATAACCTTTTGGTGTACGGGACGATGCTCCATCCAACTGAACCGCCCATCCAGGGCAGTTATTGTACATATTAATTGTCTATTTTAAATCCCAAAAGATGATGTTTTAAACAAAAGTTATTTATTTAGATTTACCTACATTTTAATATTTTCTTTTGCTATTCGTTTGTCCTGCATTTCTGTGCCTCTGTCTAGGATCATCAATAGAAGAACTTTCTACCAGAAGAAATTTCCTTAATATTTGTCTGATGAATTTGCATGATAATGTCTTTATTTTGCCTTCATTTTGAAGGATATTTTCACTGTGCCTAGAAATAAAATCTGGTAAATACTTTATTTCAGCACTTTGAAGATATCATTCTATTATTTTCTGACCTCTGTTTTCCTTTTGATTTATCATTTTGTCTTGGGTTTAAGCAGTTTTACTACAGTGGACTAGGTGTGGTTTTCTTTGTATTTATTCCATCTGAGGATTATAGAGCTTCTGTATCTGTGTCCTTTGGTGAGGTGGGGTGTTATTTTGGCAATATCTCTGATTTGACCTGACCACATTCTTTCTTTTCTCTTGTAGTACTCCGATAATATGAATGTTAGACTTTTTACCATATGTCATATATCTCTTACACTGTTTTCTATGTCTACCATCCTGTTTGCTCATTGTGTTTCAGCCTGGTGATTTTCTTTGTACTTATCTCCCAGTTTGTATATTTTCATTTTAGCTATGCTAATCCATTGTTAGTTTCTTAATTTTATTGTATTTTTGTTTGTAGAATTTCGATTTGATTCTTTTTATAATAATTTATTACAATTGTATATTATAGAAATAAACAGTTATAAATACATCTTTCTTACCCACCCATCTCATGAAATAATTCTTATGAACTATTTTAAAGATGTCTTTACTAGTTTTGTCTTTACAATAGCCTTTTTTTTTTTTTTTGAGTCATCTGACAGCTGTCTGGAACAAAGTTTTACTTTCATCCAAGTTGTTTAAGATTTAGTTCTTTCAAATTCTTTGACACTGCTACTTACAGAGTATCTGCTTATATACGATTAGGACAGTGGCTTTTTCTCTACTCTTCTGTAGGATAAGTTTGTAACCTCTACAATGAAACCACTTTCTGTATTGTTCTTGTTAGTGAACTTTAAGTGGCTCTAGGAAGTAATTTTTAAAGGCTTGTTTATGGTGGTATCCAGCAATAATCATTGTTAGGCAATGCCGTTGAGAATAATTAATAAATCTGAGATAAATGTTTTTGTTTACACTCTATTAAAAATGTTTTTTATTATAAAAAAATTTCAAAGATATATAAAAGTAGAGAGAATAGTATAATTAGTTCTCATGTACCAATACCTAGCTCCAAAAATAGTCAACTCTTGCCCTGGCTGGTTTGGCTCAGTGGTTAGAGTGTTGGCACATGGACCAAAGAGTCATGGGTTTGATTCCGGTCAAGGGCACATATCTTGGTTGTGGTTTGTCCCTGGCCCTGGTCAGGATCATGCGGGAGGCAACCACTTAATGTGTCCCTCTCATGTAGATGTTTCTCTCTCTCCCTCCCTCCCACTCTACCTGAAGATAAATAGAAAAATGTCCTCGGGTGAGGATTGAAAAAAAAGTCAACTCTTCAACAATCTGTTTTTTCTACATTCTACCCACCCCAGATTATTTTGAAGTAGATCACAGGACATCAGATCATTTCATTATAAATATTATAATGTATCTCTCAAAAGTTAAGGATTTTTTTAAAAGCCATAATCACGTATCATTAACAATTTTAACAATAATCTTTAAATACTTGTTTGATCCTTTTGTTTGAATTGCAGTTCCATGCTGAAATTTTCTATCTTGTCATTTAATTTCTTGAATATATGAATCATAATTAAAGTTAGTGCCTAATAGTAACAAATATCTAATCCTCTGTCAGTTCATTTGTATTATCTGCCTTTCTCTTTTCTCGGTTATTCAGTTCTTGTCTTTTTGTAAACCTAGTTTTATTTTTTATTTCTTTGAGTTCTAGATAGTGTGGATGAAGAATTGTAGCAATAATTTGAGTCTCTGACTGAAGTTATCTTCCTCCAAAGGGGCTTTCCCTTTTCCTCTGGTGGCTTTTAGTCTGGGGTTAGCTCGTCCTAATCTAATCAGGATGCAGTCCACGTGAGGCCTAGTCTGTTTCCAGCATTTGCCCTTTCTCCTGATGTGCACTTCTTTGGGTATGAATCAAAAGCCTTGGCGTGTTTATCAGCACCCCTCGTCCACAGTCATCCCTGAACTTTACTTTTCTCTCTCTGACATCGTGAGACTCCTGATAGCTTTGTTGCTAGACTTTCAGCCATAGATTTCATTTTTTAAATCAGCAGTCACTTTGATGGGGAAAGCTTCAAATGGGGCATATCTTACTTTTAACTTCTTTTGGATCTTAAATGTCTCCCACCTCCAAACTCTCACTATCTTGTTAGCACTCCTACTTCTTTGAAAAATATTTTAAATAAAATTTTTTTTTTTATAAAATTTTTTATTTATTTTTTTTGTTACAGATATTTTACCTTTTTTACCCCATTGGCACCCCCTCTCCACCCCCGCCCCACCCCGTCCCCAGCTTAGTTGTCCATGTCCATTGGTCATGCATACATGCATATAAGTTCTGTGGTTTATCTCTTCCCACCCCCCCACCCCCTCTTCTGAGGGATGTCAGTCTGTGCCCTACTTCCATGTTTCTGGGTCTACTGTATTCCTCAGACTGTTATGTTCATTATATTCCGTATATAAGTGAGATCATGTGGTATTTGTCTTTTTCTGCCTGGCTTATTTCACTTAGGATAATACTTTCCAGTTATTTTAAATAAATTTTATTTGGTTTTTCTCATTGTTGTCTGAGGGAGAATTGGTGTGAAGCAGCCTAGAAGAGCATTGCCAAAGCAGAACTCTCTCAGAGCCTGTTGAATGTAACATGCATGCACTCTTGTTCTCATTGTTAAAATTTTTAGTTTGCCATATAGTCTCTCAAACTTCCTTTTGCTTCTCTGTTGCCACCCTGTGTTAGTAAAAATAAAGTCTCTGGAATATTGGTTTCCAACAATTATAATAATCATTGAAATCTTTTCTTTTGAAATCATCCTCAAAACCAGCATTTGGATATTAAAATAAAAATCAATCTCTTGTATACTGTCTTACCTTGTACGAAAGCATGGTATTGCTTTTAACTTGATTGATCATCCTATTCACCAGTCTTTACTACTTAAAACTAATGGTAATTGCCCCCCCCCCCCGAATTAAATCTTAGTCATATGCAACAACTATTGGATAAATATGCTCAATGTATCATGACTTTGGCATTTCCAACATACAGAAAAATGTTTAATGTTTTGAACAGTGGTAGTATGTCACTAGAAGACTGCTCAAACATTTAAGAATTTTATTTTTTGAAAGAATAAATATTATTGTAATAGATGTACATTATTGGAATGAATAAAAACTCCTCAAGGAATCTAGTTTCATTTACTGTATTCCACCAGTTTTGAGATAAAACTTTTTTCATAATTTTTATAACTTTGAAATTGTGTTATATCTTAAATAAAAAGCATTGCATCATAGTTTAATATAATTTCTTTCTTAGTGTTACATAAAATAATGACATATATTTATGTATTTGCAGTCACCTCTTTAAATTGTTAGTCTCCTTTTGTTTTCAGTGGAGAGATGACCCCCTTGCTGCTTAGTGAGAAAGCAGTAGTTGCTTATAGAACAAAGAACAGGCCATCTAAGCACAACCAGTGTGGCTCAGTGGACTGAGCACCATCCCATAGATTGAAAATAGGCCAACTTGGACTTCAGAATGACAAGCTTGTTATCATTAAGATCTGGCCACATTTAAGCAATAGGTAGATTATGAAAGGGGAACAAAAAAGATGGCTTGGAGAAGATGAACTGCTGTAGAATGTTGCTATTCTAGTGAACGTTCCCAAGATCTTTCTAAATCTCCGAATGTACTGGTATCATGAGGGCATAACACTTTTCCCACAAAGTACTATATTATATAATCCACTTTATGAAGCTATTTAAATTAATGGTGCCCCCATTAAATCTTTATTATTATACACATTATTATTGTGGTAACATGTATGGCATTAACCAGGAACTAATGTTAATGTTCAAAGAAACAAAAGTCTTGTCACAAGCAGAGTTATGCCTAGAGCAGGATGAGAATGATAACAGCTATCTGTAGAAAATGTTGTAGTTGTAGGTCCAAGCTAGTCACGTGAGCCCACCACTAAGCATGTAGCTAACTTGCTTCAACACTTAAACCTTATATCATTTTGAAATTGAAAGTATGTCTTATAAAAGTAGTAATTATATACATCCTGGACCTGATTCAGATCATCCAAAGGGTCAAATTCTTGAGTGTTAAATCCACTAATGCCAAGGGTCTGCTATACTTCAAAGAATAACACTTGGATATTACACTCTTGGTATAATTTGGATTTTAGATTATTAGACATAATTCTGTCCGGTATCCATATCAGTTTGTTCATCCTGCTGTTTAGTTTTCTGTAAATTGTCTTTTAACTTAATCCAAGGAGCTGTGTAAAACAGGAGATGGAGATAGATATATATACATATATATGTCTTGATTATTGCAATATAGGTTATCCCGTTAGACAACTATTGTTTTCTTCTTGCTCTTTGAAAGGTAGAGGGATGGTATTTGTTGGGGGGAAATTATATGTAAAGGTTTGTGTTGTATAAATTAATGTTCAGATACTTTTCAATTTCACAGGCATCTACTTCTCTTAGAACTATAGAATATGCCAGGAACATTTATTATATGCCATTATGGAACATGGTACTAAAATTAATGATTACAACAAATTTGGAGACTTTTTTTTTTTTTAACAAGGCAACGTGCCATTTTTTTTTCCCTGGGATTGATAATGTGATTGTATCAGTGCGTCTTTCTAAACTGCCTCACTGGGAGGGAGGCATTATGGCAAAACAGAAAAAGACCATAGGCTTTGGAGTTCTAAATATCTGGATCATGATGTGTGTGTACTTCAAGATATCTACACCTTAGTTTTCTCACTTTATTTTATCAGTGAAGTCAAGATGACGATAACCTCATAAGGTTTTTATGCAGGCTAAATTCACTGTGTTAACACTTAGAGAGCCCCTGGTAACAAGTCAGAGTCAGCAGGTATACAGTAAATGATAGCAGTTTAATTTTTGATGTTTTCCCCTTCATTCACAGATGTTTATACCAATGTTTAATATTTGGGATAGTATTTATTCGCCATCTAAGTTTTTAAAAAATTTTAAAGGAAGTGGAAGTGGAAGGTTTTTAAAAAATTATTAATGGACATTTTTCAACTTTATTTGAATGTATGTCATGCATAAAACAAACTTTATTCTAATAAGGATTTTAATGACAGGATTATATATATAGTAAATTATTCCTGTTTGCAAATAATATGTTGGTCTGCTTTACTATAGGATTTAATCTTGTTTGAGTTTACCTCAATTTTCTAGTCCACATAAAGTAACAAGATTGAAGTTATTTCATTTCTTAACAGGGAAGGTGTTTGTTCGCCAGTGGCAGTCCATTCGGGCCAGTGAAACTAAGTGACGGGCGACTGTTCACGCCAGGTCAAGGAAACAATGTATATATTTTTCCAGGTAAATCTTTCCGATATTTATGTTTTAGGGTAATAATTAATGACATGTAAATACTTCATGAAATTCTTTAGAGTTTAAGATTAAAATGAACACTAGAATTCACAGGATTTGATTTAAATGTACAGGAAAACTCAAGGAATTCAGCAGATCCAACTTGCTCTATTTCCCCTGAAAATTTATTTATTCACACAGGGGAGCGCAAACGTAGGTTTACAGTTTTGCTACAAATAAGTAATACAATAATTAATAAATAGCCCTGGCCGGTTTGGCTCAGCAGTTGGAGCGTCTGCCTGCGGTCCGGAGAGACCCGGGTTCGCTAAGGGCATGTACCTCGGTTGCAGTTTGTCCCCGGCCCTGGTTGGTCGTGCGGGTGGCAGCCACTCGATGTGTCCCTTCACGTCGATGTTTCCCTTCTCTCTCTTCCTCTCTCTCCCTCCCACTCTATCTGTACAAAAAAATGGAAAAATGTCCTCGGGTGAGGATAAAAAAACAAACAAACAAACAAACAAAATAAATAATAATACAAGAATGAACTCTGTTTCGCATACTCACAACTGTAAATGTACTTCTGCCCACCCCTGTAGTATTAATGGATATCTCAGCTGCGAATAGTATTTATGAAGTCATAATAAACACTGAATGTTCATTCAACCAAAATTATGCTCTAACTATATTGGGAAGGAGGGAAAGGAGGCTGGAAATGTGAAAGAAAGCGAAATACTATTTCCTACAGGAAGGAATCAGTGATACTTAAAACTCAAAAGTCAAAAAATAAATAAATAAAAAATAAAACTCAGAAGTCAGTTAGAACTATAAACAAGCTATTTAAGAGAGAAATAAATTGAAACAATCAGCTAAAAGAATTAAAAGTAGTTGTCTCTATAGAGCAAGAAATGGAGGGTTAGAGGTGTGCTGGGAATTAGTTTTTATAATGAGTGTCAATGACTTGTATGCATTTGTAATTCTGATAAATGTAAAAACTAAATTGGGAAAAGCTATTTGATATTCCTTAAAATATTTTTTTCTAGTAAATAAGAATAATAATGGTTAACAAAAATCATTTGATTTTAACTCTCAGATATCTTTTTTTTTCTTGGCTGCTTTGGGGTTTTGGGGGCGGGCGAAGTTTGGGGGGGCATGGTTACCATTGACTTGCTTTAAATCTGGGAATTTATTTGGCTCACAATTTGAAAAGTGACCTGACTAAATAAACTGTTTAAAATGTATTCTAGGTGTGGCTTTAGCTGTTATTCTCTGTAACACCCGGCATATTAGTGACCATGTTTTCCTAGAAGCTGCAAAGGTAAATGTTTTTAATATTGTTTGGTTATTTTATAAAGGATGAATTAGAAAGATTAAAAGCAGAAAGAAAAAGAGAATGGATTATTTCTGCCTTATGAATGTAAAAGAAATTACTCATCCATTGCTCATTTGATTTGCCCATCTACTTTTGCATAAAATTATTTTTATCATGATTTTTCAAATGTTTGATAGTAAGCTATGAATCCTTTCATATTTATAACACATCTATGGTACCTATATTATATGTATCTGAAAGCAACATATTGTGGCAGCATAGATAAATTATAACTCCTTGTGAGTTGGTAATGACAGTTACTGATTTATTTGGAATAATTGGAGCCCCAAGTTTAGCAGTATGAGTTTTGAAAAGCTCACATTAATACAAATATTAATGTCTATTTTCATAATAGCTGTTGTAATTATGTCAATACCACATTTATGTAGAATATGTCAATGAATCTTTAAATCTGGTTATTTCTTTATTGTTTAGTAGTTTTAATTAATTTATGCAGTAGTTTAAGCGTATTCCTGCTAGAAATAGGAAAATTATAGTACCTGTATTATTTTCTGCTCCCCAACCCTTTTTCTGTTTCATTGGGTCTTTATTATTGTGTTATTTAAACAAACAAAAATAAGGTTCTATTTTTCTCTTTAGGCACTGACAAGTCAATTGACGGAGAAAGAGCTAGCTCAAGGGAGGCTTTACCCACCTCTTGATGATATTCAGGAAGTTTCCATTAACATTGCTATTAAAGTAAGTAATAGTTTATACCTCTTCACATAAATTTAATGGCATTTTTTTGTGTAAGTAACACAAGTTTATTAGAGAAATTTTTTTAGTATTTAGTACAAAGAAGATATTTTAGGTCACCCATATTCTAACAGAATATAACCCACACTATTATTTTGGGTTTGTTGCCTTCTTGTCATTTTTCTTCCAAACACATGCACACACATGCCCTGTGCCTGTTTTCATAATTGATTTCTCACTGCGTTTTTTTCCACTTAATGTATTGTAAGCCTTTTCCCATGTAAATCAATAGTAATTCTCATGTGTGATCATTAATGCTACATGAAATTCTTTTTGTTATTATATCATAATTAGTTTAATCATTTCTCTTTGGACATTTAAGTGTTTTTTGTTTTGTTGTGTTTTTAATCCTCACCTGAGGATATTTTTCTATCTATCTTCGGATGAGTGGGAGGGAGAGAAAGGGAGAGAAACATCAACGTGAGAGGGACATAGCAACTGGTTGCCTCCCGCATGACCCCAACCAGGGCCAGGGACAAACTGCAACCAAGGTACCTGCCCTTGGCCAGAATCGAACCCGTGACTCATTGATCCACCGGTCGATGCTCTACTGCTGAGCCACACTGCCCAGGCCTTAAGTTTTTTTTATTTTGGTACAAATAATATTGTAGTGAATATCTTTAGATAAGTCTTTATATGCATTTGTGATTGTTTTTCCTTAAGATGAATTTCTAATCATAAGGATGAAAGGTATTAACATGCTGAAGCTGCTGGTACATATTGCCAAATATTTCTTCAGAAAAAAGTACTGATTTACATTGTATCTGTTAGATATGAGTATATTTGTTTTCCTACACCTTTGCCAATACTTAGAATTATTTTTTAAATCTTGTGTATTTAATAGGTGAAAATTGCCCAGCTGGTGTGGCTCAGTGGTTGAGCGTCGCTGGTTTGATTCCTGGTCAGGGCACATGCCCAGGTTGTAGGCCAAATCCCCAGTCGGGGGCATGCAGGAGGCAGCCAATTGATGTTCTCTCTCCTCAGTGTTTCTGTCTCTTTCTCCCTCTCCCTCTCCCTTCCTCTCTCTCTAAAATCAATTTTAAAAAAAGAAAATTATATCTATTTTTATTTAAAGCACTTTTTTTAAAATGATTTTTTTCTTTATTGATATCAGAGTGAGAGGAAGGGAGAGGGAGAGAGAGAGAGAAACATCAATGAATGAGAACATCGATTGGCCGCCTCCTGCATGCTCCCCCGCCCCACACTGGGGATTGGTCTCACAACCTGGGCATGTGCCCTAACTGGGAATCGAACCAGTGACCTCTTGGTGCATGGGTCGATGCTCAACCACTGAACCACACTGGCCAGGATTAAGTACTTCTTTTATTAATAGTTGAAAAATATTTTGTGTTTATTGAACAACCATATTTTTTTCATGAACTGCCTCTTCATGACCTGTGCTTGTTTGTATATTATATCTGTCTATCTACTTTCTAATACTAATTTAAAAGAGCTCTTTATTAAGGGTAGTGATCCTTCTGTTTGCTGTGGTGCAGGTATTGTCCCATTTGTCAATAATTTTAACTTTTGGAAGTGTTTGATGTGCCATTTTCAAGAAATTATTTGTTAATTTTATGGATTGTTTCTCACCTTTTATGAGTGTTAATGCCTTCTTCCACTCCAAAATTTTATAAATATCTACCTGTGTTTTCTAATAACATAAAACTTTGTTATCCCTTTGAGATTTATTTTAGTGTATGGTGTGAGACAGAGAAACTTTTTTCTGAGTAATTAACCAGTTGCCTCACCACCAGTTGATTGAGAATACTCTTTTTATTAGCACAAAATATTTTAGTCTATTAGTTGTAGTATGTTCCTGACCATATTTGTCTATGATTAGGTACTGTTTTATAATAGTTTTTATGTCTCTTACTCCTAATTCTGGAGCAAAAACATTGGACTCACTTTGGGTTAGGTTTTCACTCCACTCCAGTCGGCTATGACTAAGAAGTAGCATCTTCTACACACAGTTTCAGTAGGACTATGAGGGAAAGGACATGGACTGGAGGTTACCTAAGTAGGTCTACTTAGCTTGAAATTGTTTGTTGGATTGAACTGTTAAGGAAATGCCAGTAATTCAGGGCAAGGAGATGCTTTAAACATGTCAAATTTATGGTAATATTGCAGATAATTTTTATTTCATCTTTTAAAAACTTTCAATAATTTCAAAATGTTTTGAAATGAGTCAAAATAATGGTATGTTTTATTTTGAAAAAAAGAAAAATGCCATTTTAAAAATTCATTTCTGTTTTAATAGTACTTTTTCTCTCAAATAGGTTAATACTCAGAGCCTACACAGTAATCTTATTTACTTTTCAGGTTACAGAATACCTGTATGCCAATAAAATGGCTTTTCGATACCCAGAGCCTGAGGACAAGGCCAAGTATGTTAGAGAAAGAATATGGCGAAGTGAATATGACTCGCTGCTGCCAGATATGTATGAATGGCCAGAATCTGCAACGAGCCCTCCCCCACTACCTGAGTAGAAGCGCCCTCCAATAAATACTTTCTATATTTCAGGGAACCCTTTTTCAGACAAAAATAATGTTCTCAAATTTATGTTTTTTTTTCTGAGTTTTATCCTCTCTCACTGCTCTGCTTGACTTATTTTTCCCCGTGAATCTACACTTCTGTCTGGGGTAGATGTGTTGGCGACATTGTTAATGGCCACTAGCACCCTGCTGTCAAATAACCATAATGCTTTCATTTTGTAGCTCATACCACATCAAAGAGATGTTAAAAATGCATTTGTAAGTGTCTTCTCCGATGCTCTTATGAACACTTGCCAAGGTGTTTGGTAATATCTCTCACCCAGCCCTTTTAGGGCTGCTAAAATACAAACTGACTTCTGTGGAGATGAGCACAGAATTTTGAGGAAAAAGCCAAATTTAAACAAATTCTAAGGACAAACTGTCTATTTAAAATATTCTTTTATTTCTTCTTCATGCTCTGAAATTCCTTTCTAGTATATACATTAGAGAAATATGAAAAATCTACCATATTATTTATTTCCTGGAATTAAAGACTTGATTATAACATTGTAAGAGAGAAGTGAGAACTACCGTTGCCTTTAGACAAATAAAAAAAAAAAAATAGTTGCCGAGTCTGCAATAATGTCAACATTAAAAATTTTTTAATTAAAAAAGTCATTGTTTTTAACAGTGTATAAAAATGATAGTGTAACTTTTTTATTTAATAAAGGTAATAACAAGTTTAATTGCTTCAATTATGCTATTTTATTGCCCAAGTAGAAATTTAGCTTTTCTTATTATGAAAAACACATACTTTCATCTTCTTAATTTCTAGATGATTTTAAGAAAAGGGTATAGGATACCTAATGCATAAATTATGACTGACATCATATGACTTTTAACAAATAAGTCTTATGTTTCACATCTAAATGGGTCATATTTAACTGAAGAGGTTGTACCCATATTCTAATAGTAATGCTCTTTTATTTGAGATAATTTTGGAATGCCGTACAAGATATTCCTTTGAATATCATTAGTGACAATTCTTTCTCCATTAAAAATGGATTTAATTTTTTGAAACCACCAAAATTAATTTAGAGCTAAGTGGGGATGAATAAGGTGGTGTTCAGACCATTTTGAATAGTTCATTTTCATGCCATTTTTCAACCCAGTAAAATGGGTAATAATTGGCTAGTGAGACCAGCTTTTTATGTGGCTTGCATATTGGAGAGTTCTAAAGGAAATCCCAAATCAATTTGAGAAGTAGTTGTATTGCTATATATGTATCTAACTTGGTTGCTTTGAAGAAACAAAAATTTTAAATGCTTATTCTCGAATATTAACAGCAAAAAATTATTCACAGCTACATATCAGTATGTACATTATTTGACATTTCTCCCCACAGCCCTTGATATGTTAAATATAATATTCTATGGAGAAAAAGAAAGGACTTTGTGTTTTTATTTTTTATTTCTTTATTGATTTTTAGAGAGAGAGGAAGGGAAAGAAAGACAGAGAACATCAATTGGCCACCTCCTGCATGCCCTCCTCTGGGGATCAGGCCCACAACCTGGGCATGTGCCCTGACCAGGAATTGAACTGGTAACCTCTTGGTGCATGTGTCAACACTCAACCACTGAGCCACACTGGCTGGGCAGGGCTTTGTTTTTATTTTTATCTTTTCTTCTACCTTTAGGTAGAGATTAATTCACAATAATTTTGAGTATAATTCAGCATTTTAAGAATGCTCAAAAAATGCCCTGGCCAGTTTGGCTCAGCAGTTAGAGCGTCGGCCTGTGGACCAGAGAGACCCGGGTTTGGTTACCCCTAAGGGCACGTACCTCGGTTGCAGTTTGTCCTCAGCCCTGGTTGGGGTTGTGTGGGTGGCAACCAGTTGATCTTCACTCTCACATCCATGTTTCTCTCTCTCTCTTCCTCACCATTTCCCTCCCACTCTATCTAAAGATGAATGCAAAAATGTCCTCAGGTGAGGATTAGAAAATAAATAAATAAATATGAATGCTCAAAATAGCATTGCCATTCAGAGTGTGGGAAGATGCAGTTGCTTAATTCATTTAACAGATGAGTAAAAGTCAAAGTCTGTTCTATAAATCTGCTTCATAAAATAAGCAACTAGGTCACAATTTGTTTCTTTTAATTAAATATTAAAGGTTTATGTTTTTCATATTGCCTTTGTCAAAACACAATCATTCCCAAAAATATTCTCTATGAAATCATGATTTTTATTTTGTCGTTATAAGTATAATAAATACGAACCTGATTTTTGCTTAATGCTTATTGAAGGTAGGAACATATGCCGAATTTTACTTAGTAATTTGACTAAGATGTTTACTTATTAATATGTCTAGTATAGTCCTTATGGAAATTAAAATATTTCAAGGAAGGAAAACAAGGCTAAATAGCCTATAGCTTATTTAAATAAGATAAATTTTATATGTATACTGTTAAAAGCTACTTATTCTCATTATGTGTTATTTGCCAACCAGTGTTTTAATAAGTAGTAATTATTGGATGTAAATTTAAAAAAAATTTTGAATATTAAAACTAAGAATATAGGCACGAGTTTTCAGCATGGTGGGAGGCGGGCGGAATAATGGCCTCAAATTGGAAAAGAGACGGAAACATTTGGATTTCTATGGAAACGTTCACCTAGCAAGAAGATAATTATTTTGAAAAACAGGAACTGGAGAGTCATTTTCATTCTTTTGAGTAAAGAGGAAAATTCTGTCGGATTAGTCTGCCAGAAATTATTTAATAGGGAAAAGTGAGACTACACAGTTTTCTAATCTGGTACTACCACCTGTAGCGTGAAACAAATTGGATAAAATAGGATAAGGTTTATTGACTATAATGAGAAAAGTGTTGAAAATTTTGGTGAAAGCCTTTCTAAAGGATGGATTCTTAACCAGAAAGTTAACTCAAATCACTGTGAAGCTTCTTAAAAATGGGGAGGCTTCTACCCTCTCCTTCCAGGCTCCCTGGACCACCTGGGGCAGAGCCCTAGCAGGTGTATTCTCAGCACACACTTCCCATGTCCTCCCAGTCACTGCCTTAAAGCAGGTATCTAAATCACCTGGAGAGCAAACTCTTTCCTCCTGCTGATGCAGTGGGTCTAGGGTAGGGCCCGAGATTCTGCATTTCTCACAAGCTCCCTGGGGATGCCCAAGCTGCTGGCACAGAGAACACACTGAATGGCATTGCCCCAGAGTCCTGAGTATGGTACACAATTTAAGTTCAGTGCTCACAAAGTATGTACTGTACATGAAAAAAGATACCTGAAATTGTGTTCTTACAAAGAATTGGTTCCATCTCTTTTTGTTATATATAGTTTTAAAAAGATGTCTATAAGAAGAAAAATTAATACAGAACTTTCATTTTCTGAAAATGCATAACTAAAATACTGTTCAAGTCTAAATTATTGATTTTAAATGTACTTACTAAGTAAAATCTAGCAACCAGTTTTCATTTATAAAAGATGAGCTATCAAATGGATATTTGTTTCTGTTCTATTCTTGGTTGTCTCATGATGTGACTTAACCTTATCCTTTGTCTTTCCTTTCTCTAAATTATCAGCCTCTAGAGAAATAAGATTCTACATTCTCCTTTGCAAAGGAGTTACTAACAAATTAAGACCAAAGCGTAATAATTATTAAGGGGTGTGGAGCATTATTTACTGCTCTCAGATAATTAAGAAAGCCCAAAGGAGATGGTAGGGGAGTAAGAAAAGCCTTATTTTAGGGAAGGAAAAAACAAAACAAAAAACTTCTTTTAAATGCTTCTTTAGCTTCATTCCTAAACCCACTCATTATCCCTCAAAGATAATTTTTTTCATACAGTTGAACAGCTCTAGTGTTCTGTTGAATTTACTAAAATGGAATCAGCTCTGTTGAGAACATTAATGCGTGGTACTTGAGAACATTAATATAAATCTCAATGCTTTCTATTTGGATTCCATTTAAAGAAACTGTCCTAAAGAATGAAATAGAACCAGTATCTTTTTTCCTTCCCTGACAAGATCATACCTGTTACGGTGCAGGCACATTGCAACTTCATAGAAAATGGAATAGATTTATTATCTACTTTGGCTCTTGACCAATTTGTGATTTGCATATTGATGTGTGTCTAAATGTTAAAGTAACAACCTTAATATTTAAAATATTCAAGATAATTCAACTGCAGAAAAATGTTTTCCCTTTCCTAATTTTAAGTGTATATTCTAGCAAATCATGGATTCCTAAATAATCACTGAAATATCACCAACATGTTAGGTATGTATAGTTAGTGAATATGCATTTTATGCATGGCACCTATTCATTGTTCTAAGTATTCTACATGCATCATTACTTTTCATCTTCACAATCACCCTCTGTCACTCGACCTGTTTGAGAGAGAAGGCCTCCAGGCACAGGTTAAACGCCTGCCCAAGCTCTCAGCTGGTGAGTGGCAAAGCACAGGCTCCTAACCTCAGCACCAGTCCCGGGAAGAATTGCCTCTGTGATAGATGATATTATCTGAATCGTAAATGTTTTATCTTCAAGAATTGTTATTGCAGATTAAAATCTTCACCTATTCCTATAAAATTAGCCTTAGGTTCTTTTTAATGCGTTTTACCAGTTCATTTGATTTTTACTTTGTTTTCATTTATAATTCAAATACAATATAAAACATTAGTCTTCAGCACTTTGGTATTACATGTAAACACAAAAGATTTGTTTTTGAATATGATAAATTACAACAGATTTTCAGTTGCCAGTTCACTAACATTTTTTTTAAGACACAGTGGCAGGGAGGGAGAGGAAGAGAGAGAGATATCAATGTGAGAGAGACACATTGTTTAGTTGCCTCCTGCATGACCCTGACCAGGCCAGAGGATCAAACCTACAACCCAGGTATCTGCCCATGATTGGGAATCAAACTCGAGACCTTTCCGTCAGAGGACTAATGCTCTAACCGATGAGCCAAACCAGCCAGGACATCATCTTTTGATTTGGTCATCTTTACAGATCCACCAACTGCTGTCATTTTGGGCAAATTGGTTTCAAGAATCTGCCAATGTCAATATGGATTTTAATTGTAAGATATATTTTAAATGATATCTATTGCATTATATGCATATATGTAACGTTTTCCATTAAATGGTGAGAACAGCTAGAAAGTAGTAATATGTATGTGTGGAATGAAGAATTTCTGAGGAGACCTATTTTAGCTAAATAATTGACAAAATAAAGTTTTTGCCTAATTTATTATCTAATGACCTTTAAAATTAACTGAAATTAAAATCATATTTTTGCAATTGATATTGTGTTCCCTTTGATATCATCCCAAGCATTAATTGTTGACCTCAAGGTACCCACACGTAGCAAAAGTCACTGCTTAGCCTTTCTCACCTTGGTATCAAGAGATGGAATAGTCTTGCAGTAATTGCTTAAGGGAATACTAGTCTAAGGGAATGCCTTGTGTAGAGTATAGATCTACTTGTTACTGTTGGTTCCAGGAATTAGTCTTAAAACCTCACAATGGTGTGAATTGTTTTTTCTCTTTTGATAGTTGTGTGATATATTGTAATGAGATGTGTGTATTTTCTTAATAAAATGTTCCTATACATTAAAAAATGTGGTATGACTTTATTTTTCTTGTTTTTAACTGTCTAAAATGTGACTGACTTTTTTTTTTTTTTTTGCTTTGTTATTGAATTTATTTATATTACCATGGGATCAAGTAGGCTGGTGTGTGTGTGTGTGTGTGTGTGTGTGTGTGTGTGTGTGTTTTAAGGTTTAATAATACCAAGTTTTAAAAGTGCCCAATACAGCTCTGGCCAGTTTGGCCCAGCGATTAGAGCATCAGCCTGCGGTCCAGAGAGACCTGGGTTCGGTTCCCGCTAAGGGCACGTACCTAGGTTGCAGTTTGTCCCCGGCCCTGGTTGGTCATGTGGGTGGCAGCCACTCGAGGTGTCCCTTTCACCTCGATGTTTCTCTCTCTCTCTCTCCTTCACTCCCTCCCACTCTATCTGAACAAAAAGTGGAAAAATGTCCTCGGGTGAGGATAAAAAAATAAAAGTGCCCAATATATAAAAGCCTTTAAAAACAAGGTCATGGTGGTGAAAACATAATAGAATATATAGATGATGTATTATAGAATTGTACACCTGAAACCTATATAATTTTATTAATCCTCTCTCTAAAATCAATCATAAAAATAAAAATCCAGGGTTTTGTTGTTGCTTTTAAAGGTGCATGAGTTATAGGTAAAAGAAGATGGACCAGATATTACTAACTGCTAAAAGTGATAATTATACATAAAGGTTCACCAAACATGTTTTCAACTTTTGTGTATGTATAAAGTTTCCCATAATGGAAAGATTTTTAAATGAACAAAATGTTCTATCCACTATTCTCTAAAGATAGAATAAACTCTAAGGAGTTGTAGGAAACTTTGATGAATGGACAGGAACAAGCCATGAACCTCTGGAATGGGCAGGTCTATGGATGGTACAGCTGTGGGCGATCCAGAGCTGAGTTGTGATGAGAACCTGGCTGTAGAATGATCTATGTCCTTTTGGGCACTTCTTAGCTAAGCAAGTATTAGGATAAATAAAGTTCAAGTTTTTTGCTAAATCCAGTGTTTAATACTATTCTAAATCAGACTAAATCCACCTTATTTTTCCATTACTACAACATTAAGTCTCATCTATCCTACAAGACCCAGCTCAAGTCCTACCTTAACTAATCTCATGGCTATGATCCCCCTTTTTCCATAATCTTATCACTCCTTTTGCCTTCTCATTTATTCCTCATATTGTTAGTTTATTGTGTCCTGATACAGCTTTTCCCGACCTCAGTGTATGCTCCTAAAATCAGGGGCTACAGACATATTTTAAAAATACTCTCAGCATCAAAAATAACATCCACAAAGTTGGAGCTCTATTAATACTCAAAGAAACAAAGGCTTTGAAGAGCCCAAAAAGTAGATTACTTAATGGTTTATTGAGCAAAGCAGTGGGGTAGAGTGGGGTTGAGGATGGGGCACAAGTGTTCTTGATTCCTCTCCCTGATAGTTTCCAAAAAAACCCACAGATACAGCACCTCTATTGCTTATCTTTGGCTCCTGCATAATTTGACCACCTCGAGTATGTTGAGCAAAAATCAGTGCATTTGGCGCTGCGTATGAGCTTGAAATACTTCTTCCCAATGTTAGAATGTAACCCGAATGAGATTTTTACCCCTGGTGGTTTGTGTCACCCCGTGCAGTTTCTGCGCACAGCAGGCCCGGGCTTGCACACGCAGTGTGGTGCCGAGAGAGCTCGTTTGCTTGCTTGCGGCGAGTACAGCACAGGCAGCTTCGGGCTTTAAGCAGACTCCCGTGTATTCTTGGAATGGGGAAGTAGATGAAGAGCCGAGGCTCAGGGTCAACAATAATGCTGCTGTAAAGTCCGATTCAAAGGCACATCACTGCTGATCCTCCTTAGGGCACCTCAAGCTTAAATTTTTAGGTTTAGTGGCTGAAAGATTCATGCCAACGAAAGAACAGAAATTACCCAAACATGTGCATGAGTCAAGTAGGAGGGACCACACTCTCGTTTGAAAATAAGAAACAGAAAACAAAACAAACAGAAAACACAGAACAGTAAATATTTTCATTCGTGGCGCCCCGGTCCTCACGGGTTCCCGCCACCGTCCTACCCAGCGAGCTGGTGCTGGCAGGGAAGGAAGAGTGGGACCTACTGGGAGGCCAGGTAAAGCGTCTCAAGCCGGTGCCTCGGCTCCCGGCGCCCAAGGGCCGGTTGGGCACCACCGAGCGTGGACCTCCGGCGCGTCCTAGAGCGGCCGCGCGTGGACACAGCCGGCGGCGCACTTCCGTCCGCGCCCGACGCCGCCCGGCCGACAGCTGGGTCTCGCTGTGGGCCTGCGCCTCCCTTGGCTCCGGCCGCGGGCCCCGGGGAGTGGGTGAGTGGGGCAGGGAGCGCCGGAGGGGATCGGGCCAGGGTCTGCGCCGCCGCGGCTCCCCCGCCGCGAGGCGCGCGCCTCCTCCCGGCTCGCGGCCCGGGCCCCGCGCCGAGTACCCAGGCCCGGGGAGCCCAGGAGCGAACACGCGCCTCCTCCACCCCCGCGGGCGGGAGCTTCCTCGGCCCCGCGCTCCAGCCGCCGCCCACCCATCCTTTTGGGAGACGACGCCGACTTGGAAGAGAGCCGGGGCTGCCAGTGGCCCGAGACCTGGCCTCTGGCCCTGACTCTGCGGTGGCCACTCGCACATCTCCCCAGGCCGCGGTCTGTCTGCTGTAAAATGGAGGTGGCGGCGTCTGCCCGGCCTGCGCCACGGGGGTCGCGGGCGGGCCCTGCCTGCCTGGACACCGGTTCTCACCCGGCAGCCCGTAGAGCCCTTCAGGGAGCCTTGCCAAGGCTCCAGAAGCACCTGGCGGTTGTGATAGGCAGCGGGGACCGAGAGCCACTGACCCAGAGGGACTGCTGTCGTGTGCTGTGTTCCCGGCAGAAGGTGCACTTGGTCCAAGGTGGAGCCCCGGCCCGAGAAAGCAAGCGGCTGTTTTTAGTTTGTGTGGTTTGGTTTTTGTCCGAGAAGACGGGGACCAAATCTGGTTTGGTTACTTTAAATTCCTAGTGCCTAGAATGAACGGTACATGTCACAAAACATGCACCGTTGATTAAATAAATTAATTTCTGAGTACTTCCCGACCTAGTGGAGGGGTTGTGCTTATTTGGTTTGTTATTATTTGGTTTGTAACTTTTTATCATGGAAACTTTCAAGCATATAGGAAAATAAGATAGTGTACTGAACTCCCAACTCATAATCAGTCTTCTTTGATTTATTACCCTCACCCCCTCTGGTTTATTTAAAGCAAATTTAAATGTAGCATTACATCAGTTAAATACTTGTTTATAAAACAGAACTTTTTAAAACATAAAACCATTATCAGTCAGTCTAATAAGCATTTCATATTATCATCTATCCACTCAGCAGTTACATTTCCCCATTTCTCATTTTTTCTCCTGCCATTATCAGTTTCTGCAAATCAGGGTCCAAACATCTCTTACACATGTTTTAAAATCTCTGTCCCCTCCCTTTTTATCGCCCCCCCCCCCCCTTTACTTGTTGAAGAAATCAATTCATTTGTCTGGTAAAGTTTCCTACATATAAGATTTGGCTTTTCCCCTCCTTGTGGTGTCCTTTAGTAAACTGATATTTAGATTACAGCCTTAAAGGATTGAGGTTCTACTTTTTGGCAAGAAGGCCTGATAGGGTTTCTGTGTCCTTCATATAATATCACATCAGGAGTTAAATAAGGTATTGTCTGTCTTGTGGCGTTAAGATTGATCAATGGACGGCTTCCTTACAATTGTACCACAGGGTGCCCTGGTAGGGTGGTTCAGTTGGTTGGGGTGTTGTCCCATGCACTCAAAGGTTGTGAGTTCAGCCCTCTCTAAAATCAATAAACATATCCTTGGGTGAGCATAAAAAATAATAATAATAATAATAAATTTTACCACAGGGTAACTAAATAATTGACCAGGGAGTTACAGAAGGGTGCCAGCTAATAACTGCTGAAGGAGTGAGAGAATGCCACCTTTGGCAGCCCCTAATGAAATAATGGATCCTGGCACTGATCATTAGTGGCTGTTAATATCAGAAGAAGAGAGACAGCCAGACAGTTAAGAAGTATTTTTGGTTGAATACTTAACATGTATTCTTGGATGATTAGTAGGAAATATAGATTAAATAAAATTGGCCAGGAGTTAGTTGATAATTATTGAAGCTTGGGGATGGGTGTGTGGCAATATAGTATACTAATATCTACTTTTGTATGTGTTCGACATTTTTTATAATAAAACGTTTTTTAAAACATTGAGTTCAAGTCAGCCCATTATAGTTCTGTTCTCCATTATTCTTTCACTAAGTGGTTCTCAAATCTGACTGCACATTAGAATCACAGGGGGAGGATTTTATTTATTTATTTATTTATTATCCTCACCTAAGGACATTTTTGCACTTATCTTCAGATGAGCGGGAGGGAGAGATGGAGGAAGAGAGAGAAACATTGATGTGAGAGAGACACATTGAGTGGTCGCCACCTACACAGCCCCAACCGGGGCCAGGGACAAACTGCAACAGAGGTACGTGCCCTTAGCGGGAACTGAACCTGAGACTCTCTGGTCCACGGGCTGACACTCTAACCACTGAGCAAAACTGGCCAGGTCCATAGGGGAAGGATTAAAAAAAAAATACTAAAACACGTGTCTCACTTTGCAGAATTTCCTATTTAATAGTTCTGGGATGGAGCCCAATCATTGATATGTTTTAAAAGCTTATTCTATTATGCTCCAGGGTTACATACCTCTGGCCTAGATCCATTATTTGTTAGGGATTGCAAGGTGATTATATTCTATTATTCCTTCTGCATTTATTAGCTTTTAATATTTTTAACTTTCTGTTTATTCTTACCTGTTTTGCGAACTGCCAATCCAGTAAGAACAGTCTGCAGATTAATTATAAAAGGAAGGTTTGATCTTGGAAGTGAAAATATGGAGTAACACATGGAAGGAACACTAGCAGTAACCTAAAGGCTTGTGTGTGGGGTGGAGAGATGTACTATCTGTGTATGTAAGGTGTGTGTGAGAGGTAAAGAGTGTGGGGAGCTGACTGTATCCCCAGTGGAAAGTAAGATTATGAACAGTGAATGTTCAGCCTTATGACACAGTTTTTTTAATCTTTTTTTTTTTTTAGTCCTCACTGGAGGGTACATTTCAGTGATTTTAGAGAGGAAGGAGGGTAGAGAGAGAAACATCGCCTCCCCCACACACCCCAACTGGGGATAGAACCCGCAACCTAGGCATGTGCCCTGACAGAGAATTGGACCTGCACCTTTTTGGTGTATTGGACAACACCTCAACCAACTGAGCCACCTGGTTGGGCATCCTTATGACACATTTTAAATAATATTCAATATTAAAGAAATTATAAAATTAAATCAAATGCTGTTTATTGAAACCAAAAATAGTTCAAAGATTTAAAAGAAAAAATAATCTTTGCCCCCCGCACCATTTTAATCACCCCTGAGATGACCGGTATTAACAATATGGTGTGTATCCTCCATACCAGACTTTCTCTGTCTCATATAAATGTAGGGGTTTTGGACATCATTATAAAAATGAGATCATGCCATAGCCATTTGTAAATTTTTTCACTGTCATCCCTCCAGGACAAGAGTTACAGACTGACTTAGTTGCAGAATAAATAGTCCATGGTATGAAAGCATAATAAAATATTCAATTGTTTCTCTATTGATTTTTTTTTTCAAATTGCTTCCAAATTTTAGCCACCTTAAAAGTACCGCAATAAACACCATTGTACACAGAGTATTTGCATAGGGTAGATTCCCAAAAAAGGGACTGCTGAGTTAGAGTGTGTTGTTATTAGCAGCAGCATTATTATTGGTAATATATATTGCCAGATTACTCCCCCAAAACGTAATAGCAATTCACACCCCCACCACTAGTAATATGAGTGCCCATATTCTCTTGTTCTGGTTAGCACTGGCTAGCATTAATATTTGTCAGTGGATGTGTGGAAAATGGTGTTCATTTCTTTAATTTGCATTTCCTATACCTGGAGTCTGAGCACTTTTCATGCTTATTGGCTGTTCAGATTTTGTCTCTGAATTTACTGTTTCTATCCATTTTTCTATTGTATCAGGGTTCTTTGTTTTTGTTTTTATATTTTGAATGCACTTGCATGAAACATGTTTTTAGGGGCATTAACTCTTTATCATACAGTGCAAATAGTTTTCTCCAGGTTTTTTTTTGTTTTGTTTTGTTTTTTTGGTCCTTTGACTTTGAGTCTTGATATGTGAAAGTTTTTATATAGTGAAAACATCTATTCCTTTTGAAATTTATGAGTTTCCTGTCTTGCTAATAAGGCTTTTCCCAAACCCCAAATTATATACATGTTCTAATATTTTTAAATGTGTCTTATTGGATCTTTTACATTTAAATTTTGAAGCCATGTGGAATGTATTTTTATATACAATGCAAAGTAAGAATCTTGCTTTACTTTTTCTGCAAAAATAGCCAATTATGTCAGTGCTGTTTATTAAATGTTACATTTTTTATAATTTTGTTATATATTGATTCCCATAAATACCTAGATTTATTTCTAGACTATTCCTTCTCTTTCATCACTATTTTTTTTAAGTTGATTCTTTAGAGAGAGAGGAAGGGAAAAAGAGAAACATCGATGTGAAAGAGAAGCACTGATTGGCTGCCTCCTACTGGGGATAGAGCCCAAAACCTAGGCATGTGCCCTGACCAGGAATCAAACTGGGACCTCTCAGTCCATGGGACAATACTCAGTCCACTAAGCCACACTGGCTGGGCTCACCTCTATTTCTCTGTGTGCCAATATTAGTCTCTTAATTATAACCAGTTAGTGTAGTAGTGTAATATCTAGAAAGGTAAGTCACTTTATGTAATTTTCTTGCCCATTCTCAGACATTTGTTTTTTTTTTTCTTTCCGTCTTTTGATAAATTTTTTTTTGTTCCAAGATTACTCTCAATGGAAATCTGATAAATTTGCATTAAATATATCTGTACTGAATATGAAAAGAACATTTCTGTGATACTAAGTCTTATTAAAGAACCTAATATGTATCTTGGGCTTTTAGGGCCTTTTTCTTTCCTGTTAACGTTATTTCTAGTGATTTTACAAGGTGTTTTTTTTCTCTTGTGAATTAGATCTTTCCCGTTTATTTTCTTTTTTAAAAAAATATTTTTTCTTTATTGATTTTAGAGAGGAAAGGAGAGGAAGAGAGAGAGAGAAACATCGATGAGAGAGAACATTGATTGGCTACCTCCTGCATGCCCCCTATGGGGATCAGTCCCACAACCTGGGCATGTGCCCTGACCAGGAATCGAACCAGAGACCTCTTGGTGCATGGTTGATGCTCAACTAGTGAGCCACACCAGTCGAGCTAGACCTTTCCCGTTTCTATTTTTATCTGGTTATTGCTAAGACTAAGAAAAGTTGTTGACAATTTTGTATATTTATCCTTTATTTAATATGTTAAAATTTTTTCTTAAAATGATTAATTTTTGTTTTCCTCCCAACCCTCAGTGTGGGTAATCTATAATTGTTTATGTGTGAGTTTGAGTTTATTCTTATTTATTCTATTTGATGCACATTTCCCATCACAGAAGTATGTAAGAAATGGCAGATGTGCCCAGAAACAGTGACAGGAAAGAGAGAGATGTTGGGACTTGGCAGAAATCTATACACTCAACAGGTTATTGCTGATCACTTATAATAGCAGCAATCCAAATCCTAACCAGTGATGGACCCTGTCATTTAGAGGAGGGGGACATTCACTAGGCATTACTATACTGCTGTAGAGCAGCAATTTTCAACCCTTTCATCTCATGGCACACGTAAACTAATTACTAAAATTGTGCAGCATACCAAAAATTATACTTTTTGATCTGAGAAAAATATAAATATAATTTTGATTCATTCACAACCAGATGGCTACTGTTGTGTAGGCTGTTGTCATTTTTTTTTACTTGACAAGCTAAGAGAAAAGAGGTCAGTGTCCCTGACTAGATAGGTATTGAAGGTTTTAAAAGTTCTTGCGGCACACCGGTTGAAAATCGCTGCTGTAGAGCATTGTTGTATTTATGATCATGCAGAGAAAGGGCTGATCACCATAAGCACCAGACATACCACGCAGTAAACATAATAAAATCTATCTCAGAACCTCAAATAGAGTGGTTATTGCTGTTTAGTGTTTATTAAAAGGGCTTTAGGGGGGAAAAAAAGGAATGCTTGGAAAGTACAAAGTTCCTGTATATTCTCTCCCTTGCACCCCTATTGTTAACAACTTACAGTAGTTGTTATCTTTGTTACAGCTGATGAGCCAATATTGTTACATTATTATTAACTAAAGTTTACATTGGGGTTCATTCACTCTTTGTACATTCTATGGATTTGGACCAATGTATAATGATGTGTCCATCTCTCTGCATCATGCAGAATAGTTTTACTGCCCTAAATAACAATAAGTCTCTTGGGAACCTGTTTTTGGTGATTTTGAGCAGTGATGTGAAATAATCCCTCGGTGATCTTTCCATTGCAGGGTAGAAGATGTCTATGGATGTGACGTTTCTGGGGACCGGCGCAGCATACCCATCCCCAACCAGGGGTGCCTCTGCTCTGGTTCTTCGGTGTGAGGGCGAGTGTTGGCTCTTTGACTGTGGGGAGGGAACCCAGACACAGCTTATGAAAAGCCAGCTTAAAGCAGGTTAGTGTGCATTTAGTTATCTCATGTTGACCATCACTTGTGCTGCCTCATTTCCTTGGCTTTCCTTGGGCCTTTGCTCCATAGCAGCCCTGACAGTTGCATCGAACTTCAGTGCTAGAATCCTGGCAAGACTTGGAAGGTCCTCAGGCATCTGGTACACCCACTAAACTTTATTCATTTATTTACTTACTTTTCATTCTTCCTGTAAGTTTTGAGAGCAAAGTTTTATAGAGGCCCAGAGTAGAGGATGGAGTGAGATACATCAGGCATATTAGCTGGACACTGCCCAAGCAAAGGAACTTGTGTACACATTTATTTTCACCAGCTGTAAGTATCATGAGAGAATGCAAAGGGCAGTAGATGTTCAGAGGAGGTAGAAGCTCTTTTCCACTTGGTTATCAGGGTAAGCATCTCAGAGAAAGTGACTTGTGAGTTGTTGAAGGAAGAAGAAGGATTTCCCAGGCTGGGGAGAAGAAGGGCATCTCAGCCAGAGGGCGTGGAGTGAGCAAAGGCCCAGCAGCAGGGAGACTGAGGGGTACAGTGATGAAAAGCCATAGTCCAGAGTCAGGCAGACCTGTGTTCCAGTCCCAACTGTGTCTTGGCTTGTGACCTTAGCACAGTGGTTCTCAACCTTCCTAGTGCCGCAACCCTTTAATACAGTTCCTCATGTATGTGGATGTATCTGCGTGTGGGCGGACCCGCCTGGAGACGGATAGAGGAGCGGTGTCTCGGTTCCTAAGACCATCAGAAATATGTGTTTTCCCATGGTCCCAGGCAACCCCTGTGAAAGGGTTGTTCAACCCCCAAAGGGGTCGCGACCCACAGGTTGAGAACCACTGCCTTAGCATATCAGCACCCCGAAAATGGAAATAAAAACTCTACTTAGAAGGCATGTTATGAGACTTATATATAATAATCTTCTCTTTGTGGTTGCCTCCTTCTAATCAGTTAACTCTTAGCTCAAATGCTATTTCCTCAGAGGCTTTTCCTAAACCTCTGGGGTTAAGTAGTTTTTCCCTCACCCCAGGCATTCTGTAGCTTCATCCTATTTTTATTATCATCATCAGTATCTAAACTGATGTTATTTAAATAGCCGTTTGTATATCCACTATCTGTCTCCCTGTGGTAAGCTCAGTGATCACTTGTGTACTTTGTAGTTGCCTAGTAAATATCTGTTCAATAAATGCATGAATAACATGTTCAGCATTTAGTGCAGTGCCTCTGTCTTATTAGGTCTTGGTAAATGGTGGTTATTGAAGTTACTATTCCTGTAACTTGGTACAGTCCTTGGCATTGGATGACTAAAAGAAATATAGTTCTAGGATCTAAGCATCTCTTGGTTTATTGAGGGAAACTGACATGCAGACAGTCATAATATAATATGATAAGGAGAATAATAGAGGTGTTTTCTAAGTCCTTTTGTAGTACAAAGAAGGGGGGCACTAATTATCTGTGTTCAGAGAAAACATTCTGGAGATGGTGATAATAGTAACAGTTGAGCTAGGATCTAAAAGATGAATAGAAGTTTCTCTGGGGAGAAAAGTAGGGCTGGACATTCAAGGAACAGACAACAAAGTGAGCAACAAGTAAGGGAGTTCCCAGACATGTCTGGGGAATATTAAGCCATCCAGAGCATTGAGTACTTGGCTAGGATAGAAGAGAGAGAAGAATGCTGGAAGTAAGTGTGGGCAGACTATGAAATCTTCTGTGGTACGCTAAAGTATTTGGACCTTATTATTCTATTGGCAATAAGGAACCATTAAAGTTTAAAGCAGGGTTAACAGGGTCTAATTTGTGTTTTAGGACAGTTTTCCTTTGGCAAATGTATTGGCAAAAAGAGACTAGCATCAGGGAGACCAGTTTCAAGGCAGTTGCATTCATCTGAGAGAAGGGAGAGAAGAGGAGGGTGTTGAAGCAGGAAGTAGTGATAGGGATGGGGAAGAGAGACTTAATCTAAGAGATACCTGTAGAGCCAGTAGGAGGTGGTGACTGAATGTCTAGGGTGTAAAGAAGTGAATAATTATTACATGTTACAGATGGCCATGCCCCAGACCTGGAAGTCATGAAAAGTGCATTTGGAGGAATGAACTAATTAATATCGCTTGGGACATGAGGCCTTGAGATGTACAAAGTTCAACCCTCATTCTATATTGTCTTGTGTTGAAACCCTGAGGTGAAGGCAGGTACTTTGCTTTATGTCCCTTGGGTCACACAGGTGTTCCTCTTGTGAGAACTCTCAGGGAAGGCACAGACTAGAGTGGAGGCTGTAATATGTAACTGTTTAGCAGTTATCAACCTGTGGGTCGCGACCCCTTTGGGGGTCAAACGACCCTTTCACAGGGGTCGCCTAAGACATAACAGTAGCAAAATTACACTTATGAAGTAACAACGAAAATAATTTTATGGTTGGGGGTCACCACAACATGAGGAACTGTATTAAAAGAGTCATGGCATTAGGAAGGTTGAGAACCACTGGTTTAGAGAGTAGAGGTGAAGGTGGGAGGGTGATTAAAAAAGAAACAAAAAACTGTTAAGTGTGGGTATTAGAGATTTGGGTATGGGGATAAGTCTTTCCTTTTTATTTAAAACTGTGTCACTTATCTAATGCTATGAAACAGATTACAAATTTAGTGTCCTATTTGCATTTATTATCCTATAGTTTCTGTGGGTCAGGGAGTTCCAGGCCTGGTTTATCTGGGTTTTCGGTTTCAGGGTCTCACTAAGCTGCGATCTTGTAATTGGCTGGACTGAGGTCTCATAAGAGGGTCAAGTGGGGAAGAATCTGCTTCAGAGCTCACTCAGGTTGTTGGCAGAATCTTTACCGTTGTGGGACTGAGGCTGCCCACAGCTCCTAGAGGCCTCCTCGTCACGTGGATTTCTACTTCATAGTAGCTTGGAGTAGTGCCAGCAAGGGAGAGAGAAACTCGAGCAAAACTACAGGCAGGTTGAAGTCTTAAAACATAATGTAATCACATTGCATCTCTGTGTCATAGTTGACTGGTTAGAAGCCTATCACAAATCTCACCCACACCCAAGAGGAGGGAATTATAGAAGGATGTGAACACCAGGAAGTTATTGGTTTCTCTCGATAACCCAATATGGACCTGTCATTATTTGATTCGTTGAAACCCTTTCAGCTTATATTACCTCCTGGGGTAATAATATTTTATGATTTTTATAAGGAAGTACTTTGTATTTATCTAATCGTAGGTCTTTCAAGCTTCCATGGTCCTAATATGCAGGCATCTTATTAACAAGTATAGATTTACCATGTCTATTTCTGTCATAATTTTAAAGACTAAACCTAACTTTTGTTTTTTTCCCTTAAAAATAATTCTAAAATGTATACATGCTCAATGTAAAAATTCAAACAAAGCAGAAAAGTATAAGAAAAGCCTATAGGTATAGGTGTATTTGTGTAGTGTGTAGGTATAATTTTGCATAAATCAAATCACTATGCAGCCGCTTTTTTTCAACTGAACAACATATATGAGGACTGTATTGCAGACATTTTCCTGGGGCAGTAAATATAACTGCATCATCACTTAGGGGGTGCTTAGTAGTTCATTCCTCTATGGATGACATATTCCCCTGTATTTTCTTGTTCTCAGGTGAAAGGAAACTCATGCGTTTTTCTTTCTTCATTTGATAGCTTCATCTTAACCTTTGATAATTGTGGTTGCCATTCCTTCTCCCTCTGAAATCAGGTTTCTTGGAAAATGAGATGTTTGTCTTCCCTGAAACTGATAATTGTGGGAAGCAATTTTTTACTTATTTAATTTGTCTCACTTTTTGGGTTCACAGATTGTTTTGGTGCTCAGTTTGGCTCTGTTTTGCAGTAGACAGGGAGGAACCCAGAATGTCTGATGTGGCACTTTTGACGTCAGCATGGATCAGGACTAATACCGTCATAGTTCTCTTGTCTGCAGAGACCTCAAGTCCATTTGTGAGTGCTTTGGCAACCTGGACAGCAGGAAGGGGAAATGCAAAGGTTCTAAAAGTCAAAAAACCGGATTGAAAAGAGAAAATAAAAAGGAGCATATTGAGGAAACTTACAGAGGGCCTCCTGGGGATTCTCAAGGTCCAAAATTTGCCTCTGCCCAATCTATTGTTCTCTGCCAAGGGTCCTGGGCTTGGCGTAGTAAGTGGAAGACTCACTCACTTGGAGAACACGTTTGCCTTGATATCACAGGACAAATGACACTACAGTAAACTATTCCTATTCTTTAATGGTATTATTAAACAGTTCTGTTCTTTTATGGAGGCAAATGTTTGAAAGAGGTGGGCCATGGGATTGGACCAGAAGCCTCTGTTATACTAATCATGTGTTATTGTAATTGTTACTTTTGAAATGCCCTGTGGTGTATCTCAAAAAAAATGCTGACGTGGCATCCTGCCACATACCAGCAGTAAATTCAGTTTAACATTAGGTAAATCAAGTTACAACCTAAGCCAATGTGCACTGAAAAAGCTGTGTGTTCGTTCAGAGTGAAGGGAAGGGATGGGCCCATGTTCCCTTACAGAACACCGAAGGGGCTCTGCCCTGTGATCTGCATTCTAATGTCTGTTGTCCACCTCCTTCCCTGTTGGTTCTTTACCCCCTTGTTCTCTGACCTCCCTTTCTCTCCCTCTTCTCTTGTTTCTCCCTTCTTCACCATCTTCCTTTTTCTCCTCCCCCGTCAACCTCACTCAGACAAACAGGCTCTGACTTGGTTAATTAATCTCTGTCCAGTTTAGAGACTCCTTAAAAGGCATTTTGGGTTCGGCACTGGTCCAGTCTGTTGGAGCCAGGGGAACTTGTTTTGCCTGAAATACATATTTGCTATTCTTAGAGCAAACAGTAGGGGGCAATGTAACTGTCAGATGCTTTTAACACTTGAAGCCTATCTGGTTACTTACGTGAATTATTTCAGAACACTTCCTACTGCAACTTTTTTTTGGTAATCAGATATATAGGAAAATACTCTGAAAACTATAACACTATGTAATTTGAATATGTTTTATGAAAAGTTGTCTTATTAAAACCATCTAGTAAAATAAAGCCTATCTTTCTTGCTTCTGGAATCATGTAGAAAAATATAAAAAATAAGTTTATGGTGATAAGTAAAACTCTAAATTTATTTTACTGCTTTCTATGTAAGTTGTTACATATATTTCAAGTATCTTTGTATGGATCTTTATGTCTGAAAAATTCCCAATTTTATTTTTCTCTCTCATTCGAAAGGGAGAATTACCAAGATCTTCATCACGCACCTTCATGGAGACCATTTCTTTGGCCTTCCTGGCCTCCTCTGCACAATTAGCCTGCAGAGCGGCTCCACGGTCACCAAGCAGCCCATTGAAATCTATGGCCCTGCAGGGCTTCGGGACTTCATCTGGCGAACCATGGAGCTGTCTCACACGGAGTTGGTCTTCCCTTACGTGGTCCACGAGCTGGTGCCTACAGCAGATCAGTGTCCTACAGAAGAACTGAAAGAATTTGCACACATGAGTAGAGCAGACAGCTCCCCCAAAGAGGGACAAGGGAGAACTATCCTATTAGACTCAGAAGAAAACTCATACCTTCTGGTTGATGATGAACAGTTTGTTGTAAAAGCATTTCGCCTCTTTCACCGAATTCCCTCCTTTGGGTTTTCAGTTGTGGAGAAGAAGCGCCCAGGTAAACTCAATGCACAGAAACTGAAAGACCTTGGTAAGTGTGTTTTGTTTTGTTTTTTTCTTTTCTCATCAATCAAGCTGTTGTTAACTGAAGCTGTTAGAAGTGTCATAGTAACCTTCCTTTCCTGTATCCCAGACCTAAAACTGACATTTTCTCCACGTACTTCCTTTGCCCAAAGTTTGCTTATTAAGGGAGATTTCCTAGGGCCTAAAGATATTCTTCAGAGAAAAATCCAAGTATATATTTTAATCCTTTTCTCTTTAGCTCCCCTGATGCACATTCTTGGTCTGTCTTATCTTCAGCTTACACTGTCTTGGTTGGCAGGGTAGTGTTGTTGTTTTACTCTAGGCTTTTATTTTTTCATGTCTTTCTCTTAACAGATGTTTTCAATGCCATCGTTGGCCTGAGAATTTTTTCCATGTCTTAATGTTGCAACTGTAGCCAGTTACTTTCAGGGTTTTCCTTTTCCATCTCGATTAAGTTAATTTGGTGTTCAGAATACTTCGCCTCAACTGGTTTTCATCACAGTAGTAGGCAAGCACACAAAGATGGGCTTGGGGCCCACCTGAGGCTTCATACCTCCTCCACACTAGGCCTTCATGCAGGAGGGGGTCTTTGGCGTCTCTCTGGAAGCAGTGTCGAGGTCTCCTGTACCTCCGGCATCTCTGCCTTCCTTAACATGGCCATTGCAGAGCCTATGAAAATCATGATGGTGTCTTATGTATGTTTATTTCTTTGTTTACTCGACCTCTTCCTTCTTTCCCAACTAAAACAAAATGCAAAATAATGAGGAAAAGTAACTTAGGCCAAAGGTATTTTTATTATCTAAAATCCTGTGGAAATACTCTTATATTGGGAAACTTTACACATGATCTATATTGGACTTAGTAAGCACTTTCTGTTTTTTCGTAGGTATTGTCAAGAGTGATAATCAGGTACTATTCTAGAATAATATGAGATTTAATCCCAGTTTGGTAAAGGTGGAACTGCCCCTATACATGAAGATTGATTATTAACTTACTCAGTTTGTAGGTACCTTGTCATTATTTAAATGGACTCTTAACGTTTGCCCAAAGATGAGCTTATTAAATAAAGCACTCCCAAAAACTGTTATTTCCATGCACAGCAGAGCATCAAGGCTATTATCTTGACTGTAATAATGTTTTAGTGGGACTTAAGAGCTTAAAACTTATCTGACACATGTGCTCGGGAAATGTTTTAGATGCTACGGCATTGCCAACACAGAACTTTTAACAATGTATAAATATTCCAGTTTTCCACAAATAGTAAAATATTTATACAAATTATGAAAAGAATTAGATGTCTTTTCCATTTGCTTTTTGCTGTGCTGTTAAAACAGACTCTCTTAACAAGTCATAAATTCCATTCCCATGATGTGATGTTATCTGCCTCCATCATTAGGTGTTCCGCCAGGTCCTGCCTATGGGAAGCTGAAAAATGGAATTTCTGTTGTTCTGGAAAATGGAGTTACAATCTCTCCCCAAGATGTCTTAAAAAAGCCTATTGTTGGAAGAAAAATCTGCATTTTGGGTGACTGTTCAGGGGTTGTGGGTGATGGAGGCGTGAAGCTGTGCTTTGAAGCAGACCTATTGATCCATGAAGCGACCCTGGATGATGCCCAGATGGACAAAGCAAAGGAGCATGGCCACAGCACCCCACAGATGGCAGCAGCATTTGCAAAGCTGTGCCAAGCAAAGAGGCTTGTTCTGACTCACTTCAGTCAGAGGTACAAACCAGTTGCTTTGGCCAGAGAAGGACAAACAGATGGGATTGTAGAACTAAAAAAGCAAGCTGAATCAGTGTTAGGTTTCCAAGAAGTGACTCTAGCAGAAGATTTTATGGTGATTGGCATTCCAATCAAGAAATGAAGCCAGTGTTCCTGAATGCATACCGACATGTCCATGAATATGTTACTGAACTGACAGTCAAGTTTGTTGTTTTGGTCTAAAATTATTTGGGTCTCAGTAATCCTAAAAAGGATGGAATTTCATTGCTGAATTGACTCAGCAGTGAGAGGGAGCAAGCTTTTTGATAATAAATCATTTTCAAAAGAAAAAAAACTAGTATCCTTTTTAAAGTCCAAATTTGACAAAATGAGAGACTATTCAGGTATATTTCGTGTTGTGTGGCTGCTGCCCCAGATATACCCCACGCAATCCTAGGCTTAGCTTCTGCCCAGCTTTATTGCTGTTATTGGCAAAGTACACAGGGCTTGGCCCTCTGGGCTAAAAATGGTATTTTGGCAGTTTGTGTTGAATCTGTTCATGTTATTAACAGAATACAGAGAAGTGTAACGAGACATTCATTGGACATGCAGGATTGAAACTGGCATGTTGAATCTTAAATTCTTTGCTAGGATACTGACTGCAGGGTCAGGCTAGGTGTTTATCCTTTAATTAATGTGTCATTGAACTTTCTGGTTTGCTCTAAACCTGTGGTTCTCAGCTCAGGGTGATAACATTGCCCTGGACAGAGATTTGAAGTTGTGGGGATGTTTCTTGTCAAAATGACTGGGAGGTGGGTGGAAAGTTCTACTGGTATTGAGTCAGTAGGAGCCAGGGATGCTACGTAAAGTTTGGGTCAGCGCTGTACGATGAAGAATTATCTCACCCAAAAACACAAATTGCAGGTCTGTTGTGGAGTAAAAATTATACTCCAAATGTGAATATACTTTATCAAAATTCATAACATAATGAGTTGAATTACTATGTAAATCAAATTCTACAAGAAATCCTAAAGAACTAGTCAAGTGAATATGTTGGAATTGGAATGTCATATCAAATATTATTTGACAAAAATTAACCATGAGCTGGAACTTGTGAATCTGGAGTTAAAGAAATCATCTATTCAACTGAGTTTAATTTACATGTTCCTATTAATAATTATTTGAGCACCATTTTAATAAATGTTCTTTCTAGAGTAGCTTTTCCTTCTGAGCTTCCTTCTACCTCCTTTCTGCCATGTGTAGCTGACTGAATTGCCCCACAATAGTTCTCAAAAGTGTTAATGGAAAGCTAGTCTCAAGTACTGGTTCATTCAAAAGACTTCCCTAATCAGATCCATTTGGGAAACGCTTTATGCTATGTGTTCCTGTGGGAATGTCCTAATGCCCTTTGATATATTAAAAACGGTATTGCTTGAGTGGTCATAAATCAGTCTTTGGTGTCAGAAAGACCTGATTTCAGGGTCCTATTTTGTACCTTATGGTGTTACTTGTGTGGTCTGAAGCAGATTACTTACCTCTCTGAGCTTCCGCTTGCTCGTCTGTAAAACAGGAAAAATAATACCGACCTCACTGGATCATTGTGAAGATTAAGACAGTGCGTAAAAGGAGCATAGCACATTGTTTAAAGGTGTTGAGGAGTCTTGCAGTACAGAGGCCTGTCACCTTGACTGAACCCCCTTCTCAGTCCTATTTCACCATATACTATTACCATCTCAGGAACCTGGAGAGTTTTCTAGTACATATTTGGAAATATTGTCATGGGGTATACTATTAAATTCCTTTGGGTTCTGGGGCTTCTCTAGTAAAAAAAATTCGACTCCTGGATGGTTTTGAACCGTCCCTAGATGAGTCCAGTGACTCAAGATCTCAGTCACTCTGAAGCAGTCTTCAGAACAGTCAGGTTCTGCCCTACTCTGGCTGTCAGCCTGCCCAAGTGCCAAAGTTTGACCAGACTTAAAGTGTAACTTGGCTTCTGAACTGGATTCAAACAAGCATTTACTAGTCACTTACTGTGTAATAAAACCTGTACAACAGGGAATGGCTAAGACTAGTCCCTGTACTGCATGGAGCTCTTGAGGGTAAAGACTATAGCTTAGTGACCTCTACATTCTTAGAAATACCCACCCACAGTAAGCACTCAGAAATGTTTATTGAATGAAATGAGGTCTTGATATGATTCATGACTGTAAACTTCAGGACTTAAATTTTAAGACCTGTGCCTGGTCCATTTCATTACTGTACTTGTCCAAAACATTTTAATTACTTGGTTTGATGGTACCCCGTTCACTGAGTACCAACTAAGTGCCAGGATTTACTATATTGGGAGTAGGGAAATGAATATAAGACAAAACTATAGACTCACTGTCTAAGCGGTAGAGACAGATAAGTGAACAACAGTAAATATACAGTTCCTTCAAAAGTTTTATTCGTGTAGTCTGATGCTCAGTTTTGCTCTTCCTGGGCATTATTTGGTAGCTTACTTGAGCTATGCCCTTGGAATCAGGCTCTATTAAGGTATGTAGGCTAAGCCTTCGGAGACCATAGGAAGGTGGGAATGAATTGATATGTTGGATCAAGTGTAGGGTATCAGTCCATGGTGAGAATTCTTTCTTGGACTCTTCTGGCCTAGAATTTGTTCTTTTTTTATTTTTTTATCCTCACCTGAGGACATTTTTACATTTATCTTCAGATAGAGAAGGAGGAAGAGAGAGAGAGAAACATCGATGTGAGAGAGACACATCCGACCCCAACCAGGACCAAAGACAAACTGCAACTGAGGTACGTGCTCTTAGCGGGAACTGAACCCAGGATCCCCAGTCCATGGGCCGTGGGCCGACCCTCTCACCGCTGAGCCAAACCGGCCAGGGCTAGAATTTGTTCTTAATGGTAGGACACACTCGAAGAGTTTATGGAGCCTGGAATTAAGAATGAAGCTTCTATTGGACTTCTCAGAGCCTATAATCTCTTTATGGTTGTATCAGAGGGGATAAGAATATGTACTGTGCCCAAACTTATTCGATCATTGAATCCTCTTTTGCCAAGGAACATCTTGAAACACTGAGAAATGTTCCTCAATACGTCTCAAAAGTATTATATTTCTATTTCTATTTTTACCTGCACAATTCATTGAGGTAATGAATTTCATGTCTAAGTATAGTATTTTCTTTGTCCTAAACTTAATTTTTTAAATTATTTTTTTCTTTTTATTGAATTTATTGGGTGACATGAGTTAATAAAATTATATAGGTTTCAGGAGTACAATTCTATAATACATCATCTGTATTTTGTAGTGTGTGTTCACCACTCCAGGTCAAGAATCCTTCCATCAACGTTTATTCCCCCTTTACCCTCTTCAACCTCCCCCAACCCTCCCTTGACCTCTAATAATTACCATACTCTTGTCTATCTAAACTGACTTTCAGTAGTCAGGAATCCACAAGTACCTGCTTATTTTAGATTTAATTTAAAAAAGCTCTTTCCAGTTCTCAAAAGGTGTTTAGACTTACCAAATAGACCCCAAATCAGCTGTCTTCTAATACTCATGACTCATTAATATACTTTTAATGAACTTTTAATCATAAAAGCAGCATATGCTAACTAGAGAATTTTTTTTAAAGATCCAAGAAAGGAAGACAGCCCTGGCTGGGTGGCTCAGTTGGTTGGAGCATCGTCCCATACATCAAAAGGTTGTGGGTTCAATTCATGGTCAGGACACATACCTAGGCTGCTGGTTTGATCCCTGTTCAAGATGCATACTGGAAGCAACATCGATGTTTCTCTCATATCCATGTTTCTCTCTCTCCCTTCCTCACTCTCTCTCTTGCTCGCTCGCTCTCAAAAAATAAATAATAATAATAATAAAGAAAACATAACCTCCGGTGAGAATTTAAAGAAAAAGAAAAGAAAGGAAGACAATTACTTATAATTCTGTCACCCAGAAAGCTACTACTTCTGGTACAGTGGTCTTCAAACTGAAGTGTGAGTCAGTATCACTCAAAGTAGTATATAAGTGGACAAGGGCGTGCAGGTAGACAGATCCCACTTGGTTTCTTGTTCACACTCCACAGCAGCATAAGAAAGGCCTGTTTCGTTAACTCCAATAGATGATATGGAGTATTATCAATTAATGACCTTTCAACATGTCTCTTCTGAGACATTTGTCTTATAAAGATTATTTTTGCCTCTGAGGACAAATAACTTCATTATATCTTTCAACTAGCACATGTAATTCAACTATGATTTTCTTGAATATTCTTATGCCTGCTTAAAAATTTAGTAGTTTTTACTTAAAGGGGTAAAAATCCTTCTTCTACAAATATGTTCATGAAGATGTACAGTGAAGGTACTTTTGTCTTCATAAAGGTATAAGTTTATAGTGAAATATACTGGTTCTGTTCTTACTGATTGATGGGTTTTCAGGTATTGAATGAGTCAGGGTATGTTTTTTCTTATATGGCAAGAATAAAGGAAATGCTGGTAATGCTTTGAATGTTTGCTCTTGGCAGGATAAGAATAGAGTTGGTGGGTGGCGGCATGGGGTAAGATCAAGAAATTCTTTTCTTCCATAGTAGGAAGTAAACAATATTTAAAACTGAAAAATAAATAGCACTTTGAGCACATTATGTTTAACAGGAGTGTGGGGGAAAGAAGATAGTCAATACCAGGTGAATAGTTACGAGTAAAGGAAGGGATCCTTAGTGAAAGGTACAGAGGGAGTGAGAGGGACAGTCAGAGGACTACCATTTTTCATGAGTCCAGTAGTACTAGTACTATTCGATATTTTGAACTACTTATGTGTGTTTGTATTCCATTAATTTAAAAATTACATTCACACACACACACACAGGTAAGACACTACTTTGAATAATCATATCAATTGCTGGTCTCCAATTTTTTTCAAAATATAAATCTGAACCTAGCACCCACCCCCACCCACACCCCCACTTGAAGGTTTGTTGAGGCCTTGCCTTACCTGCCCTTTCTAGCCTAATCTTTTCCCGCAGTACCACTCTTTTTTTTTTTTTTTTGGTATGTGCCTCTGGTAGGAACCGAACCCAGGACTCTGGTCCGCAGGCCGACCACTGAGCCAAACTGGCCAGGGCAGTATCACTTATTTTTGCAGTCCCAGCCACATGGGCTTTCTCTTAATCTTTTGTCAGAGGTCTCTGTTGTTGCACAGTCTTGGCATGGACTGCTCCCTGTTCCCTAGACCTGGAATCCTCTTTCTCCTGTCCCCAAGTTTACCCTTACTGGGCCTTATGATCACAGCTCTGCAGTCACATCCCTGTGGAATCCCCTCCAGACTCCCTCTAGGTAGTGTATTCCTCTCACA